AGAGAATAATAGGAATAGCAGAGGGAGTGTTCAGGGAGGTAGATATTATCCCCCTACCCAGAGACCTAGGGATAGGGAAGATAGAGATTTTTGTAGGTCTGGCTGACACTGTCATGGAAGACTATTGATACCGACTGGGCTCCATCCCCCTTGGCCGAGCGGAGCCTATGGTCGATGTAGCAATAGGGGGAAAGAGAAGTCCTTTCATGATTGACACAGGTACAAAACATTCTGTGGTGACCAAGTTGGTAGCTTCTCCTTCTGAGAAGACTATAACTGTGATAGGAGCTACTAGGAAAAGCACTGCTAGACCGATTCTCAGGAGTCGTACATGCATTTTAGGAGGCCATTTTGTTAAGCACCATTTCCTATACATGTTGAAGTGTCCAGTTTAACTTCTAGGACGAGATCTATTATCAAAGCTTCAAGCTCAGATAACTTTTCTACTTAATGGATCAACGTCTCTGAAGTTTAATAAATCACCTGGCATAATAGCGGTATTGGTGCAAAAAGAAGAATGGCGTTTCTATTCTGTAATAATAAAAGCAAACCCAAAGAGTGATGGATCTGTATTTGACATTCCAGGAGTATGGGCAGAAAATAATCCTCCAGGACTTGCTCGTAACTTCCCACTGATACATATTGAGTTAAAGCTTGGTGTGTATCCTGTTAGCCTTCGTATGTTGTTCTTTTATCTACCCCAACAGCTGTAAAGGTGGTGGAAGTGACTCCTTGGATTCATCACTCTAGGGTTAAACCAGTGGCAGATTCCTGGCAAGCTACTCCAGATCGTGAGAATCCTTGCAAGATCCGGTTGAAGCGCATGACCCAGTCGATTTGACCGTGACTTGAGAAGTATGGGGTGATTTTTGAAGAATTTTGGTTGAAAGTAAAATCAGAGATCAGCAAGTAGGTGTTTTGACGGCCATAATAAAGCCTGACCACTTGCCTACGTTTCATAGCCAGAGTGTCTCGAAGGGACCTCTGTGAAGGTGAGGATCAGAAGTACAACAATCCTTGCAGCCCTCACAAGCGGGAAGCTGAGGTGCCGTCGCACGGTCGAAGAATAAAGATGAGGACCACAAGAATAATGTGTTTAATTATGTGCTTTAGTATTTTTATAATTTATAAAAATATATAAAAATATATAGGGTATAGGTGAGGATATTCCAAGCTGTGTTAGTTGTATTAAGACTACGAAAACAGGTAACCAGATATCCCAGACCCTAATTTGGCACTCACAATATGAATGTAAAGGATCTGTGTCTAGGTGTAGGTACTTAGATACTGATTATAGTGTGTGTCAACCGATATCAGGTGAGCCCAAGTTTCGATCCCCAATTCCAACCCCGTACAATTTGGTTGGTAATTCGGAACAGTAACTCCCGGGGGAACCTTGATAAATAGGACTGTGATAAATACCATACATTATATGGGCATTCTACTATTTGATGCATGCAAGGCGATCTCTGGTAGTGGAAAACCTTGGAATGTATGTGGTAATCTTAAATGGGAACGAACTTATGGGTTTAATGATAAATATTTATGTCCCAGTAAAAGATCTACTGATCCTGACTGCCAAAATAGAGACTTTAACTTCTGCCCCTATTGGTCATGTGTAGGTTGTGCGACCTTGGGAAAGACAGTAGATCAAGATATGATTATCCAAAGGTTGCCCACTAAACCACACTGTAAGTCTATGGAATGTAATCCTGTCCATTTGACTATCTCTAATCCACAACATTTTATTGATAAGTTTGGAAATCTATTTGGGTTCAAAATACATGGTACAGAAGTAGATCCAGGGACCATAATATATGTAGGACTTGAAACTGAGACGACAGCTTCTCAAACTCATCAGGTTTTTCATTCCTTCTATGAGGAGATGAGTGTTGAGGATAAAATTCCCCATAATGTTAAGAACCTATTTATTGATTTGGCTGAGAGTATTGCAGGTAGTCTTAATATAACTAACTGCTTTGTATGTGGAGGTACTAATATGGGAGACCAGTGGCCATGGGAAGCAAAGGAAGCATGGTACCCTGGTTCTGAGACAGATGAACAACAGATACTTTCTCAGTCTGATCATCAAGTGAGTACTAGAGGTAAATCAGAATGGCGGTTGAAAACCTCCATTATAGGTCATGTTTGTATAGCTAGGAAAGGGACAATGTATAACACATCTGTAGGTGAGTTAACATGTTTGGGACAAAAGGCTTATAATGATAATACAAAAGATACTACTTGGTGGTCAGCTTCAAATGTCAAATGCCTACTAATCCATTTGTCAATTACACTAATTTGAAAGAGGTATGGTTTGATTTATCTGCTACATCCAATTGGAGAACCCCAGCAAATCTGTACTGGATTTGTGGTAAGAAGGCATATTCGGAGTTCCCAAGACTGGGAAGGGGTATGTGTATTGGGTATGTTCAAACCATCCTTCTTCTTGTTGCCAATTGAAACAGGAGAGACCTTGGGAGTTAAAGGACCACTATAGTGCCCCCACCCTCAGGGTCCCCCTCCCGCCCGACTCTGGAAAGGGGAAAAGGGGTAAAACTTACCTTTTTCCAGCGCTGGGCGGGGAGCTCTCTGCCTCCGATCCTCCTCCGATCCGCCCCGTCGGCTGAATGCGCACAAGCGGCAAGAGCTGTGTGCGCATTCAGTCGGTCGCATAGGAAAGCATTATCAATGCTTTCCTATGGACGCTTGCGTGCTCTTACTGTGATTTTCACAGTGAGAATCACGCAAGCGCCTCTAGCGGCTGTCAATGAGACAGCCGCTAGAGGCTTTGGGGGAAGGCTTAACCCATTTATAAACATAGCAGTTTCTCTGAAACTGCTATGTTTATAAAAAAAAAAATGGGTTAACCCTAGCTGGACCTGGCACCCAGACTACTTCATTAAGCTAAGTGGTCTGGGTGCCTAGAGTGGTCCTTTAAGGTTTATGATGTGAATCATAAAAAGAAGCGAGCATCTTTGAATATAGGTAGCTGGGAAGATTATGAGTGGCCTCCCCAACGTATTATTAATTATTATGGACCGGCTACTTGGGCAGAAGATGGTACTTATGGATATAGAACCCCAATATATATGCTCAACCGTATTATAAGACTACAGGCGGTGGTTGAGATTATCACCAATGAAACAGCGCAAGCACTTAATCTTCTAGCTAAGCAAAATACTCGGATGAGATCAGCCATCTATCAAAATAGATTAGCTCTGGACTACTTATTAGCAGTAGAGGGAGGTGTATGTGGAAAGTTTAATCTTAGCAACTGTTGTTTGCACATAGATGATGAAGGGCGGGCAGTGGCTGAACTTACAAGCCACATGGTTAAACTGACGCATGTACCTACTCAGGTCTGGAATGGGTATAATCCTAGTAGTTGGTTTGGAAGTTGGTATGAGCAGCTTGGAGGGATTAAGGCGTTAGTAGGAGAGTAATATTCATTATATTCTTATGTCTCTTTCTGCCCTGCCTAATTCAATTAGTGGTCAGATCTATACGTAGTATCATAGAGAGTACTATAGAAAGAAAGACAGCTGCTCATGTAATGGCTGTCTGGAAGTATGAACCTCTAGCCCAGAGAGAGAGTAATCAGGATGAGGAATGTTGAGAGAGCACGAAGTTCAGTTAGAATGATTACAAGGTCTGTTCTGGTCCATGGCTACTTGAGTGTTGATGGCAAATTATGGTTAGTGATGCATCTGGAATAACTTTGTATCAGAGGCATCAAAGGGGGAAATGTTATGGGATTCCAGCATTGTCAAAGTTTAGTAGGCCGAAATCTCCACATGGCATATGCTAATTAGTATCTGATTACAAACAGTTGGATGAGTTATCAGTATACTGAGCATGTACGGAAGTGGATAGTATATTCCTTTGTCTTTAACAAGCCATGTGGTCTGTCCATATAAGGTGATCCTGAATATCCTGTGTGCTGATTGGTCTGAGGAATATAGGAGGGGTTATACTGTATGGGAGGGGATATGCTGCTAACAAAAGGCCTCTACACCATGCTTTCCCTCTCTCAGATATTTTTGGAACAGGAGTTCATCTGAGACCCGATCGGTGTTTAAATAAAAGACCTGTTACTTCCTTAAGATTTGTGTCCATATCTCTATGTGTGGCTTCTGCGGTTTGTTCCTGTTATTCTTCCGGTAACAAACCAGCATAACTTCAGGGTCGGTGCACGGCCGCAGGGGCCCGGGGTGCAGTTGCTGGGTGACTGGCAGGGGAGGAGGGCACAGCGCTCCCCGTCCTGCTAGTCACTGCATGTAGTGTGGACAAGCAGCCCATGGTATGACAGGAAGTGCTCACTGAGAGCAACGCGCACATCCTGTCAGACCGGGTAGCGCAATCTGCTCAGCAATGTTACCTGGAGGTGAGCAGATACAGGAGTGGGGGGGACAAATAGCTGGGGGGAGAATGAGACACTTGGAGTGGAGAGAGGTTGGGAATGAGAAACATGGCGGACCCAGTGGTTTCTAGTTACTGAATGTAGGGCCATATTTGTGTCCTGGGTTGGTGATTGAAACCTGGGGTGTCTGCACAGCCACTCAGATACACACATAGTTTAGTAAGAGATGGCTGCGGGAGCAGGCTGGCTGAGGCTAATGGGAGTCTGAAACTCCAGGCTTAGAGGTCCCTCTCCCTTCCCCGCTTGAAAGAAGTAACCTGCAATGACTTCCCCAGCACGGCCCGGGTACAGCCTGCCCCGGAGATATCAAACGGTAACCGAGCACCCCCTGCCCCCCCTGCAGGAGCTGCTAACCGGGGGCTCTGTCTCCCCACACACAGGCTGGATGGGGGGCTTTATACAAAGAAAGTAGAATGAAAGGCAGCTCGGTTAGCAGATACATAAAGCCTTAATAGTGACACGGGCAGCGCAGCTCATAGTGCAGCTCCCATCAGCTGACAGCATGCCATCACAGGGCTCACACTGCACTTCCTGAAACACAGAGTCCGGACGGGATAGCTGCACATCCAGCCAATAGCAGGCGGCCTTACAGGGAGCGGCGACCGGCGACTCCAGCTCTGGCCAATAGCGAGCTCCGTTACATGTTTATCTTATTGCTCCGCGCTGCTCGGAGCTCATCAGCTGAGCAATAGGGTCCTGTTAGCTGGCACATCGGGAGCGGGACCTGGGGCCATGATTATTACTGGGTGGGCTAGCAGTGTGTAGTGACTAGTTACTGGGAGGGCTAGCAGTGTGTAGTGACTAGTTACTGGGAGGGCTAGCAGTGTGTAGTGACTAGTTACTGGGAGGGCTAGCTGTGTGTAGTGACTAGTTAGTTACTGGGAGGGCTAGCTGTGTGTAGTGACTAGTTACTGGGAGGGCTGGCTGTGTGTAGTGACTAGTTACTGGGAGGGCTAGCAGTGTGTAGTGACTAGTTACTGGGAGGGCTAGCAGTGTGTAGTGACTAGTTACTGGGAGGGCTAGCAGTGTGTAGTGACTAGTTACTGGGAGGGCTAGCTGTGTGTAGTGACTAGTTACTGGGTGGGCTAGCTGTCTGTAGTGACTAGTTACTGGGTGGGCTAGCTGTCTGTAGTGACTAGTTACTGGGTGGGCTAGCTGTCTGTAGTGACTAGTTACTGGGAGAGATAGCAGTCTGTAGTGACTAGTTAGTTACTGGGAGGGATAGCAGTCTGTAGTGACTAGTTAGTTACTGGGAGGGCTAGCAGTGTGTAGTTACTGGGAGGGCTAGCAGTGTGTAGTTACTGGGAGGGCTAGCTGTCTGTAGTTACTAGTTGGTGCACCAGGGAGGGCTAGCTGTGCAGCAGTGACTGGTTGGTTACTGGGAGGGCTGGCAGTGTGTAGTTACTAGTTACTGGGAGGGATAGCAGTGTGTAGTGACTAGTTACTGGGTGGGCTAGCTGTCTGTAGTGACTAGTTAGTTACAGGGAGGGCTAGCAGTGTGTAGTTACTAGTTACTGGGAGGGCTAGCTGTCTGTAGTTACTAGTTACTGGGAGGGCTAACAGTGTGTAGTTACTGGGAGGGCTAGCTGTAGTTACTAGTTACTGGGAGGGCTAGCAGTGTGTAGTTACTGGGTGGGCTAGCTGTCAGTTGTGACTAGTTAGTGGGAGGGCTAGCTAGCTGGGTGGTGCTAGCTGTCTGTAGGAGGGCTAGCTGTCTGTAGTGACTAGTTAGTTACTGGGAGGGCTAGCTGTCTGTAGTGACTAGTTACTGGGAGGGCTAGCAGTGTGTAGTTACTAGTTACTGGGAGGGCTGGCTGCCTGTAGTTACTAGTTACTGTGTAGTTACTGGGTGGGCTAGCTGTCAGTTGTGACTAGTTAGTGGGAGGGCTAGCAGTCTGTAGTGACTAGTTACTGGGTGGGCTAGCTGTCTATAGTGCCAGTCGACGCATTATTGGTCGCTTGAACTAAGTGTGAAAAGATGAGCAGCCCCTCGCCGTCCAGATCTGCAGGGTCTCCCCTAACACAGAGCCTAAAAGCACGGGATAACAGCACTGCCATGGCAGCAGCCACTCAGCACATTATAAAAGGTATGGCAGCTATGTGACTGTCTGAGAGCAAGCAGAGTGTGAGTGTGGTCACATAACAGTGTCAGGTGAGTGTGATTGAGGGCATAGTGCACAGATATGTGGAGTGTAAGAACATTATGAAGTAGTGCTAGATATTGCAGTGGTGGGGCACATTTTTAATTGTATAGTGTTAGCTCTCATTGGAGTGGTTGGGCACAGTTATAATGGTGTAGTGTTGGATATCATTGGAGTGGTGAGCACAGTTATAATGGAGTAGAGTTAGATATCATTGGAGTGGTGAGCACAGTTATAATGGAGTAGAGTTAGATATAATTGGAGTCGTGGGGCACAGTTATAATGGTGTAGTGTTAGCTATCATTGGAGTGGTGGGGCACAGTTTTAATGGTGTAGTGTTAGCTATCATTGGAGTGGTGGGGCACAGTTTTAATGGTGTAGTGTTAGCTATCATTGGAGTGGTGGGGCACAGTTATAATGGTGTAGTGTTGGATATCATTGGAGTGGTGGGGCACAGTTATAATTAAGTAGCGTTAGATATCATTGGAGTCATTGGGCACAGTTATAATGGTGTAGTGCTAGATATCATTGGAGTGGTGGGGCACAGTTTTAATGGTGTAGTATTAGCTATCATTGGAGTGGTGGGGCACAGTTTTAATGGTGTAGTGTTAGCTATCATTAGAGTGGTGGGGCACAGTTATAATGGTGTAGTGTTGGATATCATTGGAGTGGTGGGGCACAGTTATAATGGTGTAGTGTTGGATATCATTGGAGTGGTGGGGCACAGTTATAATTAAGTAACGTTAGATATCATTGGAGTCATTGGGCACAGTTATAATGGTGTAGTGCTAGATATCATTGGAGTGGTGGGGCACAGTTACAATGGTGTAGTGTTGGATATCATTGGAGTGGTGGGCACAGTTACAATGGAGTAGCGTTAGATATCATTGGAGTGGTGGGGCACAGTTACAAATGGTGTAGTTTTAGATATCATTAGAGTGGTGGGGCACAGTAATAATGGAGTAGCGTTAGATATCATTGGAGTGGTTGGGCACAGTTATAATAGTGTAGTGTTAAATATCATCAAGGAGAGATGATGAGGGGCCCCTCCTATTATTCTTGCATCAGGGCCCTGTGGTTTTTAGTTACATTGAGCCTGGGCAGGGGAGTATTTGCTTCCATAGCTGAGAATTCAGACCTGGTGAGTGTTGGCCCAGGCTCATGGTGTCCCCCCCAGCTATACACAGACACGGTTGTTTACACCTGTGGTTGTGCATTTGTGACTGCAGCTTTCTACGTACAATCTAGCGTCATGCACTTCAAAATATGGACCAAAACTAGTGATGTCCCGAACGGTTCGCCGTGAACGGTTCCCTGCGGACTCCAGTCAGCAGACACATTCCAGCCAATCAGCAGCAGATCCTCCCACCTCCTGGACAGCTCACTAAGAATGCAGCTTCAAAATGGATGCTGTCCAGGAGGTGGGAGGGAGGGTCTGCTGCTGATTGGCTGGAATGTGTCTGCTGACTGGAGTCCGCGGCGAACCGTTCGGGACATCACTAACCAAAACCTGTTGCTTTAGCACTTCCACTTGTCCTGCCATAAAAGTTTTTTTTCTATCTCTGTCTATGTATGACTGGTTTACTTGCCTATATGTTTTAGGGAAATAGACTATTTGTAAATATATTTTGTTTCTTGTACAGATGTTGGAGAAATTCATTCCAGATTATTGGATCACCGTCCCTTTATTCAGGGTGAAACACGGTACTTCATTAAGGAGTTTGAGGTAAATCTAGTTTGTTTCAATATTGGTGATTTTTGAATATTCTACAGTAAATAACTAAAATTGCATAGATAGGGATTTTTTTTTAAATTGGACATCATTTTAAAGCATAATGGTTAACTACTACGTGGGAAATTGCACACAAGCAGGACTGATCATGAAGCCGGGAGGGTTGGCTTGTGTGTTAATAAAATACTTAGGAAGGCATGTTATAGAAGAGCAATTTAATATTGTATGTAATGACCAGTCCACCTGAAAAATAAAACAAAGGATAACCATCCTTTTTTACTGGTTTGTTGTAAATGTTGAAAATTCCTCTCGTTATTTTCTATGCAATTACTGTGCATATCTGATAAACCCTCTACGGGAGAGGTTTATTGAATAAGTAGTCCAGCTTTCAGCTAGGTGGCTAGTATTAACCTGGTAATAACTTTATTCATGGTTTTCCTGAACGAGAGTATTTGCATGTCAATGATTTCCACTCAGTGGGCTAAAGCTGCACCGATACCACCCCTTTTGGGCCCGTGGTTGTTATCCCCACTGCCCTGTTCTAACACAAGATATACACTGCAGCTGCACACAGCTCGCCCCTCAACCGCAGCGACACGCATCAAAATGGCGGATACGCTATACTACTGGAAGCATATTCCCACGCAGTCTGTGCAAGTGCTCCATGGAGCGATCCCTGCAGAAATTGGATGCAATCTACCAGCGATTTTAGGACACCCTGGCTGTGAGACATACCACAATCCTGACTTCTGAGGCAGTCTGTGGAGGCGTCGGACATGGGAAGATCAAGGCCACTCTGGGCATAGCTGTTCCTCAAGCACCAGTTACACCTAAGGTACACCCACCTGGGCTGAGGGCCATCAGGGGATCAACATCAAAGCATCTACTACGCAGGCGGAGGATCACCCGTCTTTTCTATGTAAAGTGTACCCTGGTATTGCTATGTCCCAGTCATTTTTCTCATTATACCATGTCTTAGTAACGGCGACTAAATCTACATTCTCAGTTGCCATTATTGCCACAAGTTCAGTGAAATGATCGTCTGGGGTTGCTGTGTCTCCCGTGCAGAGGGAACTTGCTGGCATTTCGGATCTGGTCTGCCTGTATGGGTGGGACCAGTCTGATATGTTTCAGATATGTTCTCTCTGTAATGGCATAAGATGAGCAAAAACCAGCTTGAGTTCTGAGCGGGGACCTACCGAAGTGCAGGCTATTTCAGTTGCTGTCCGTTCTCAGAATACTCTTGTGACCCATTTTTTTGCTCTCCACAAGTTCATGGATCTTATTCCCTAAATTGCAAGCATTTGTGGACATGACTCTAAGCTTATCATTTTTTAACACACTTGCTACAGGCACCTCCTGTCCTTGTTTTATCACCCTTTTACTCTTCCCCTCCACCCCACTCCTAGTTTAAATAAATCCTAGCAAAACCTCTGAACTGAATTGTTCCCTTTTGAGAAAGACGCAAACCATCTTTTTTGTACAGTTTATTTCCATTCCAAACAGAGCTAACATGAGATATGAAGCCAAATCCTTGCTTCGGACACCATTCACCAAGCCACAAGTTAAAGTCCCACTTACCACCACAAATATCAAATAGTGATGTAAATTATACTGTAAATATCAGTGTACACACAACTCCCAGTGATGGAAAATATTGATATAAAACATGAATTATACAACCATATCAATTGTAGACACTGAGATTTTAAAAGATACTTAAAACAGAATAATAAAACAACATGGTGTGAACTTTTTAACCCCTTAGTTACCGTGGACGTACAGGGTACGTCAGCCAAAAAACGGTTAACGTCCGCGGCCAAAATGAGGGCTGGAAGCAAGCCGCTCTAAGGATATTACATGATTCCTCGATACCGATATCTTATATACACTGCCCAAAAAAAATAAAGGGAACACTTAAACAACACAATGTAACTCCAAGTCAATCACACTTCTGTGAAATCAAACACTTAGGAAGAGTGACAATCAATTTCACATTCTCTTGTGCAAATGGGATAGACAACAGGTGGAAATTATAGGCAATTAGCAAGACACCCCCAATAAAGGAGTGGTTCTGCAGGTGGTGACCATAGACCACTACTCCGTTCCTATGCTTGCTGGCTGATGTTTTGGTGTGCTTTTAAATGCTGGCGGTGCTTTCACTCTAGTGGTAGCATGAGACGGAGCCTACAACCCCCACAAGTGGCTCAGGTAGTGCAGCTCATCCAGGATGGCACATCAATGCGAGCTGTGGCAAGAAGGTTTACTGTGTCTGTCAGCATAGTGTCCAGAGCATGGAGGCCCTACCAGGAGACAGGCCAGTACATCAGGAGACGTGGAGGAGGCCGTAGGAGGGCAACAACCCAGCAGCAGGACCGCTACCTCCGCCTTTGTGCAAGGAGGAACAGGAAGAGCACTGCCAGAGCCCTGCAAAATGACCTCCAGCAGGCCACAAATGTGCATGTGTCTGCTCAAACGGTCAGAAACAGACTCCATGAGGCTGGTATGAGGGCCCGACATCCACAGGTGGGGTTGTGCTTACAGCCCAACACCGTGCAGGTTGTTTGGCATTTGCCAGAGAACACGAAGATTGGCAAATTCGCCACTGGCGCCCTGTGCTCTTCACAGATGAAAGCAGGTTCAAACTGAGCACATGTGACAGACGTGACAGAGTCTGGAGACGCCGTGGAGAATGTTCTGCTGCCTGCAACATCCTCCAGCATGACCGGTTTGGCAGTGGGTCAGTAATGGTGTGGGGTGGCATTTCTTTGGGGGGCCGCACAGCCCTCCATGTGCTCGTCAGAGGTAGCCTGACTGCCATTAGGTACCGAGATGAGATCCTCAGACCCCTTGTGAGACCATATGCTGGTGCGGTTGGCCCTGGGTTCCTCCTAATGCAAGACAATGCTAGACCTCATGTGGCTGGAGTGTGTCAGCAGTTCCTGCAAGACGAAGGTATTGATGCTATGGACTGGCCCGCTCGTTCCCCAGACCTGAATCCAATTGAGCACATCTGGGACATCATGTCTCGCTCCATCCACCAACGTCACGTTGCACCACAGACTGTCAAGGGGTTGGCAGATGCGTTAGTCCAGGTCTGGGAGGAGATCCCTCAGGAGACCATCCGCCACCTCATCAGGAGCATGCACAGGCGTTGTAGGGAGGTCATACAGGCACGTGGAGGCCACACACAATACTGAGCCTCATTTTGACTTGTTTTAAGGACATTACATCAAAATTGGATTAGCCTGTAGTGTGTTTTTCCACTTTAATTTTGAGTGTGACTCCAAATCCAGACCTCCATGGGTTGAAAAATTTGATTTCCATTTTTTAATTTTTGTGTCATTTTTGTTGTCAGCACATTCAGCTATGTAAAGAACAAAGTATTTCAGAAGAATATTTAATTCATTCAGATCTAGGATGTGTTATTTTTTTGTGTTCCCTTTATTTTTTTGAGCAGTGTATAACGTCATACTAAGTGTATTTTTTTTCTTAATATATACATATATTAATATAAAAATACACGTGTGTGTATATGTGTGTGTGTATATGTATTCCCAGGCTAGCTCTCCTATTCTCTGCCCTCTCCTCCTCTCTCTCATGGGCCATGGCACAAGTCTATCTTAGAGGAACTGGTTCATGGCTGTCAATTCCTCACATGCTGCCAAAAAGAAAGCAGCTCGGTTGGCGCTGTAAAAAAGGCCACAGTGCCCAACCTGGCCCCTTTAGCACTGGCTGACCGGTTGGCAAAGAAAATTTGTGTGCAGGGCAGCTGCTTTGGGCCTCCCTGATATAACTGGGCCTGGGGCAGCTGATCCATTTGCCCCGTGTTAAAGACGGCCCTGGTTTGTAGTATGCAAGACATTCTTTAAAAATATCTTTAGTAATGCTTATGTTTACCATATAATGTCTACATATGTCTGCCCCTCTTTTGTTTCACACAACTTGAATGTAATCTTATTTCACTTTTGAACCCCATGGCTATTGAACATATCTCACAACTTTTACATGTTTGTTTAGTTGGATCTACCTTCCCCTGTTAGCATGCTGCTCTTTACCTATACTGCTATACTTTAATGCTGTAGGTTTATATACCTGTACTTGTTCTCTTAATCTGATTTGTTACATACTGTTTGCTTCATTTGTCTGTAACCATAATGAAAATCTTATTTGGAATATCTTGATAAAGTATAGACAATAAATAACTGCACAACGATTCTCACCTCATTGCACATTTAGGTCACTACATGCTGGAAGTGCTAGTTTAGGTTATTTATTTTTTAATTTTTGTTAAGTATTTATTTTGTTTCTCAGTATTTGACATTCACAATTCATAGTGGGTTATTCTGCATATTGATGGAGTGATCTCATAGAACCACTAGATGGAGCCATAAAATAATAATTGTGGCTTTCAGAGCAGATCACTCAACAGACACAGTTTATACAAAACAGACCCAAAAACACATTTCATGCAGACGTCTTTTTAATAAGACTGGTGTAACTGCATTTGTGAACTAATATCTTCCAGTACACAGCTGTATTCATGTTTTATCCAAACAAGTTTATATTAAACTGCTCAGATGTCATCCTCTTTGTTGTAGAGGTTCTGTGAAAAAAATTCCAAGAGTGCAGACCACCTCCTCTCAAATTCTCCATCACAGAGCTTCAATGTGTGAGTTTGATCTTCTTTTGTTTATGAAGAATATGAGAGGATTAACCTGCATCCTTGTTCTTTAAAGATGAGGGTGATATAAACACCCCTCAAACACCCTAAAGAATATGTATAAAGACAATCCTGTCCTATATAGGAAACCGATGCTTTTCCAAATACTTCCAACTGATCATACTGTTAAAGGGACACTACTCAGCCAAAATAAAAAAAATCACAGTTTAGTAGGTATACCTCCAATGAAATCATGCATACATTTAATTATAAAAGAAAGGATTCCAGGGGGAAACACCACCCCTGAAGTCACAGGTAGGAAGTCCCTCAAAAGTCCACATATGTGTAGTTAAAACATAACTTTTATTGACCACTATAAATAAAGTTATAAATAATGAAAGAACCAAGAAATAAATAAAGTGAATACAGACAGGAAATATAATGATGAAAAAAATCACTTATACATAGGAGAGTTACCTTAAAACTATAGTTACTAAAGGAACCAATACCATCATGGAAAATAACTCTTATCCTATATACAGGTGCCGTAATAAGATATAGTAGGACAAACTAACGTGCATTGGGGGTATATAACCTATATTAATAACGCATGTAGATAAAAATCTACAGCTACCCAAATGCCTTCACTAGGATCCTATGTCCTTAGATTGTCAGAGGTCGTGTATCCTACTAAATGTGGTTTAAAGGACCACTATAGTGCCAGGAAAACATACTCGTTTTCCTGGCACTATAGTGCCCTGAGGATGCCCCCACCCTCAGGGTCCCCCTCCCGCCCGGCTCTGGAAAGGGGAAAGGGGTTAAAACTTACCTTTTTCCAGCGGGGCTCCTCCTTCTCTCCTCCTCCGTTTCCTGCCCGGAAATGCTTGCGCAAGTAGCTTGGCGCATTCAATGATGCAAAAAGCATTTACAATGCTCCTATGTGGGCTAGTGTGCTCTCACTGTGAAAATCACGGTGAGAAGCACGCATAGCGCCTCTAGTGGCTGTCAATGAGACAGCCACTAGAGGAAATAGGGGAAGGCTTAACCCATTCATAAACATAGCAGTTTCTCTGAAACTGCTATGTTTATTAAAAAATGGGTTAACCCTAGCTGGACCTGGCACCCAGACCACTTCATTAAGCTGAAGTGGTCTGGGTGCCTAGAGTGGTCCTTTAAGTGAATTGCTAAAAGTCACCAAACAAAAAGTAGCAACCGATAGATACAAATAGCAAAACATTACATGATGAACAGGAGGTCCTTATGTCCTTGTAACATATTGTAATAATATTATAATCCTTCCACTTCTCTGAGTCACAGCAATAATACAATCCTGGCTGTCTGAAGAGAAGGGCACCTAATACTGCCTAAAGAGGAAATAAGAGTCTAAGGGGATGACTGTGGGGAGGGGAAGTACTGATTCTACAAATAAACCGTGATATCTCCTAACCCTGTATCAACTCCCTTCCTCCCTCTAAGATCCCCGTGAAGCCAACTGTGAAACACCACTAGATTACGGAAAAATAAATAAATTCCTGTCTGTTTGTTTATAGCTGCCTAACGCGTGTTTCAGCGCTGCTAAAGCGCCTTCATTCATCTGAGGCTAAACAGTGGGGCTTACCTAACGGAGTCAAATTTATGAGGACACTGGACCAATTGACAGCTGGGGGTGTGTTCGCGCTGTCCGCGTCAATAGCAAGCTTAAGTGCTTTAAAATCTGGAGTGTCCCTTTAATTACTGTTTCTTGTGTGATGCACATTCATAGTTTTGCTGGCATTGTTGACAGAATATCTGTTTTGGAGTATATAAAACTTGAATGTTTCACTAGTTAACCTTTGTTTCCAAAGTGGACACCACTGACGGAGAAAAAACCCACAGCATATCCCACAAGCGGGGATTATACCGCTGTATGCGCTTCTATCCTAGAGCTGGACATAAGCTCTATTAAATGTGAGTTGTTTAATATTATCTTTCCATACGTCACTTTTGGAATTATACAATACTGCACTACTGGTCGTCCCTTCTCTCTCCCCTTTTGTCTTTTATATGAGTGGAACCTATACAGCTTATGAAGACTTCACTGCTGCAACACTTACTATAAAGACTATCCGCAAGGACACTTAAGTTGAACTTTTATTTTTTATTTTTATTTATTACGTTGGACATTTTTTCTTAGTCACTCTATTTTTACTCTCTTATTGGCGCAGCCTTTTATTATTGTTTTTACTGTCTTGTTTTAAAAGGGCTTGGAGGGTTTCCCTTTTTAAGGTTGCTGCCTGTTTATTAATTAGCACTGTCTCTCCTTTCCATATACTCCTTTCCAGGACTGGTGCAAGCATTTTTGCCTCCCCTGGCAAAAAATATTTTGCCGCCCTCACTCATACAGACTAACACACGCTGGCTCAAGTATAAACACACACTGATCCATGCAAACTAACGCACATGCACTGACCCATATACACACTCTGACCCATGCAGACACACATATACAGACACACACTGACCCATACAGACACAACGGTTATCGCCTCGCGCAAACAGAGTGGAGGGGCTGCTGAATCTGGTGTGCTGTTTCCTGATCATATTTGGGGCTAGAAGTGCGAGACTGGAGGATCCCAACTTTCTACACTGATCGGCTTTTCTTGTCTGTATCTGGTCAAGTGCTGCAATCCACTCAGTATACCCTGTCTAGGCATATGCTGATATTTTATTATCTCATGTATTCAAGCCCACATTAGATCCTTAGCTCCTATTAACAGCTGCTATACTGTTTACTGTCGGTTATTACCCACTCTATTTTGTTCATGATGTGATTGCCTCAGTTTTCATCCATTATTATTTTGTCTGAAATGCAGGCCTAGCATAAGTTTAAGTAAATGTCACTATATATCTTGCAGCAGATCATCTTGTAGTTTCCTTACAATGGCCTCAGTCTAAGCGGAAACTTAGCCTTGTTTATAATACTGACAAGGTGTGTATTCTTTTTGACATACATAACACCTGTTTGCTACTATCGTTATTCAATGTCTTGCTCATGTCAGGATTTCTCTTCTCTTGACTGATTTATAATATTTTTTTTTTTTTTTAAAGTGCAAGTCTCTCAACATGACCTGTTCTGTACCTGCAATTTTCTTTGTTCCCTAACTATTAATGCCATATCATTATCTGCTTTTGTTCCTTTCTATGCACTACTAAAAAAAAGAAAAAAAATGTAATGGAGAAATTCGCACCACTTCATCCTGCAGTTGTGTACCTGTATCTTGGCGAGTGTGTGTGTGTGTGTGTGTATGCATGCATCAGTGTGTGTACGCGTGTTTCAGCGTGTTTATCAGTGTCTGTCAGTGTATCTCAATAAATGCATCACCAACACTGTGTAGATTTTATTTATTTTTTTAAAGATTGCAGTTTATGTGCTATTGATATCTAAATCTTACAGTAGTATATACAGCCAGTGAGTATTACAGACAGACAGTATAATTTCAAATCTTGTATTTCCTACAAACTTTGCCTGCAGAATGTAATCATAAAATATAATTGCTTCATCTTTATCTTCATCCACCTATTTAAAATTGACGGGGCAAATTAACATAGAAAAAAAAACATTTTAAAATCATTTGGGGGAAAAAAGTCATTTTTGGTTTTCGATCAAGGGCATCCTGAATTTTCGGTTTCGGCTCAGAATTTTCATTTCGGTGCATCCCAAGTTCTAAATTTACTTTCCCACTTGACAGTCAGCATAAAGAAAGCATACAGAGAAAATAAATTAAGATTTTATTTTAAATGCAGAGCATTATAATGCCTTATAATATGGTATCTTAATACTGTGCCCTGTATAATCCATGTATGTACTAGACCACACAGGTGAAAGAGATGTGTGCGTAGAGTATTCAACTCTGTTGCTCCACAATGCTTGTCCAGATTCCTGTTCACTGTAGAGATAGATCTTGGTTTAATTGTGGTATGAATTGCCAAGATGTGACATACTGATGTGCCAATGGAGTATATGTTTGAGAAATTTTTGTTTAGGGTGCACATTTCCTTTTGTTTTCCTGTTTGTGAATGTGATGATTCACATAACTAGGTTGATATGTATTTTATCCGTGACACATCGGGGTAATGAAAAGCATCTTAACATTCATAATATTTCTTATAGGAAAAACGTGGACATCGTGAAATGAGTTTTCTTGGTAATTTCAATAACAGCATATCTGAAACCAAAGAAAACACTCTTACAGAATGTTCTGATTTAATGCAAGATCAGCTGGCATCAATTCTTAAGACATGTAAGTAGATATGATAATGCTTGAATTACCCTACATAAATGCATCTCTATGAGGGAAGTTCAGTGTCTTCAGTGTCTCCATGCAGAGGGTGGATACATTGAATGTCAGTGCTCCACACTGTGCAGCACTGCACCAGGAAGCATCTTTTGTAGCCATCTGAGGAGTGGCCAGTGGAGGTATCATTAGCCTGTAATGTAAACAGTGGTGTACCTACCATGGTCGCAGGGGCCGCAGCCACGACCGTGGGCCGCCTATATGCCGTCCCCTCCGTGTTCCCCCTGTCATGGGGGGCTCAAGAGGTGGCCCACTGGCCACCTAATGGACTCCCACGGCAGGCGGCAGAGTTCCTGTCAGATGTGGCGAGGGAGCTGTGATGTCTCTGCTCTGCTCCCTCGCACGCCGTTTACTGATGCCGGGAGCCGGAATATGACGTCATATTCCGGCTCCTGGCATCAGTAGACAGCCCACGAGGAAGCAGAGCAGAGAGAACACAGCTCCCTCACCGCGTCTGAAAGGAACTCTGCCGCCCGCCACATTGAAGCCCCACTGGACCCCAGGGACAGATCCACGCCAGCTCTCCAGGTAGGGAGGCTGGGTGGACATTTTAATATTAATAATTTGTGTGTGTCTGTAAGTGTATATGTGTGTGTGTGTGTCTTTACATGTGTCTGTATGTATGTGTCTGCATGTGTATCTGTTTGTCTGCATTTGGGGGAGGCGAAGGGGTGGCTGGGACGTGTGGGGAAGGAGGTTGATGTATGGGGGGCCCCAGGGCAATTTTCGCACCGGGGCCCCGTGGTTTCTAGTTACGCCTCTGAATGTAAACACTGCTTTTTCTCAGAAAAGACAGTGTTTATTGCAAAAAGCCTGCACATACTGACAGGGGCGTACCTAGACCATTTGGCACCCAGGGCAGACCCTGTATTTGCTCCCCCCAACCCCCACCCACAATTTTGTTTTTCAATGTTTTCAAGAATATTTATTGCACATAATAATTGTGCACCCTCCACACATACAAACCCTGCACCCACCCTACACATCAAATTCATACTCTCCCTTCGTATAAAAACCCTGCACCCCATCACATAAAGTTCATACACACCCTACACAAAAAACCCTGCACCCCCCCTTAATAAGAAAAAAACCTGTGCACACCTCCCCTTAATAAAAAAAACAACCTGCACTCCCCCCTTAATAAAAAAAAACCTGCACACCCCCTTAATTAAAAAAAAAAAAACCTGCACACTCCTGCCCCCGCCTCCTTAATAAAAAATAAAAAAACCCGCCCTTTTTGGTTTTCTTATCCGTTGCAGTTTTTTTCCATCACAGTATCATCTTAGAGGGATGTTATCACTTTTAACATGTTTAAGTAGCTCTATAAAACCAAATGTGGTATCACTTAAAAAAATAAACACAAGATTCTCAAACACATAACTGGTCAAAAACCATCTGTATGAAATAGTGCAAATGAGGCTAATTGTACATTGACACTGGCAGTAGGAATAGAAGCTAAATAAATGGTTTAAGCTCTTATATTAACTCCGAAACACTGGTTGTAGTGTATAGTCCTAAGAGTTTTATTTCATGTTACATAAGACTCTGTTTAAACAGGAGAAGTTTTTGCATGACTCACTGTTATGAAACCATCAGTTTGATTAGCTGAACTGCAAAGATGCAATCATTGCAGAAAGCTCAGCTTCATATTCAGAATCCAAAATCAAAGAAACCAAATGTACTTAAAGGACCACTAAAGTCGTCCAGGCCACTTCATCCAGATGAAATGACCTAGGTGTGGTGGTCCTTTTGATATAACCCTGCTATGTAAAACTTTGCAGGTTTTTTTTTAGCAATTAAATCCACTTTTAGAAGCTGTCACACTGACCGCCACTAGAGGAAATTACGAGGCACTGAATATGTAAAATCTGGTCATGTGACACAGAAGCCCCCATATTCAGTGCCGTCACATTCTATGTTTCTATGAGAAAAACATTGATTTATTGCTTTCATATGGGAAAGCTTAACTGCACATACGGAGTTTGCCGCGCATCAGATCCACAGTGCTTCTCTATAAGGATCATAGTATTCAACCATCGATGGAGGATATGCTTCCTTCATTACATTGCAGAAGGGGGAGAGGTGAGTAGCTCTGAAGGAGTCTCTGCACTGCAGAAAGGTAAGTAAGTATGAAAAGAAGAGATGCACTTACAGAACATGGAGCTGTCAATTAGCTCTAGTTGGTGCACTTGAGTGGTACAATCCCTGCTTAAGGATTTGTACTGTCTCTTGATCCAAGCAGGTATTTCAAAGTGTGTACTACTTTGGTAATTTGAACAGTGAAATGGCTGTAGTGCCCTAATGTGAAACACGAGCCCATCAAAATTCTAAGTGTGCGGGCGTGGCTTGGACCGCCACACGCATGTAAAGTTCCTGCGGCTCACGGACTAAGGAGCTACAAATATTTGGTGTTACGAGCAGATTTGGGCTAGGAAAGCAGATACCCACCTACCTAATGTCCCAGAGAAGCAAAGGCAAGCTTTCCAAGGCGGGCAAAGCCTCCTTCTTTCTGGCACGAGCTCTGGCAGGGAAGGCCCGATCCTAGATGGCGGTGATTACCGCTCGAGGGATGCATTACCCTCCCCCGGCCTCCCCAAGCTCTGTTTTAAAGGAGGGACCACTCACTGCAACAGGGATGAGATAGATCCCTAATGTCTGAACTCACAGACAAAATGCAGGCCAATATCACAAAACAGATACATACCCTGAACACAGACCTCTGCAGGGAACTGCTGGATATTGGGCACAGAACATCCCAAGTGGAACAAAAGGATGATTTTGCAACTGGACAAAATGGCCTGGCAGACAAGATCCAAGAGATGACACGTTTCAATTTAAAAGCAAGGGGCATTGGCGCCTCAACGAGTCGCTACTGAGCTATAGTTCGTTTCGGGCTTCCGTTCAGTCTGAACTGACAGAATACTTTAGGGACAACAGGTCTGGCGAAGTGACAGACAACATAGTATGAAATGCCCATAAGGCAGTGGTCAGAGGGTTATTTATCAGGAGATCCTCCTACCTTAAGAAACAGAGGTAATCCAAACTCCTGGAAGCCTATAAGGAACTTGCGATGCTGTCCGCAAAAAACAAGTCACAACCTTCATAAACACTACTAGCCAAAATGAATGCACTACATTTAACACTAGCCATATTACATGCATAAAAGACGAACCGCCTCCTACATAAACTAAAAGCCAATACCTACTACACCTCTGGTAAAGCCACTAAATGCCTAGCGGCCAGGCTCTATGCTAAAATGGCACAAACTAAGATATCCCACATCATAGATGAAGAGGGAAATAAGCACATTGACCCCCAAGCAATACGTTGCATATTTACAAACTTTAATTCCAAATTGTACAATCTACCGAGTGACAACAACATACCCCACCCTATGCCATCAGACATCAACCAATACCTAACCAATATCTCATTACCTAGACTCACTGAGGAGCAGGTGCACTCTCTCCAGCAACCTATCACCATGGAGGAAGTCACACAAACCATCAAACACTTACCTCCAGGAAAATCCCTGGGAGCGTATGGGCTCTCCAATCTCTATTATAAAACGTTTAGCGCTATATTGGCACCACAGCTTCTAAGGGTTTACCAGGCGACTGCAGAATCAGGCATATTACCACTCAAAATGCTCCTAGCCACGATAGTCACAATCCCCAAACCAGACAAAGCACCAGATATATGCAAAAACTATAGAGGTATCTCCCTTCTTAACACAGACGCAAAAATTTATGCTAAGATAATTGCCAATAGGCTGAGCCCAATCATACCACATCTAATTCACGATGACTAGACCGGGATTTTGTGCTGGGCCACCAGGGCCTAGATAATACCCAGAAGCTTACGTTGATACTGCAAGAACTTGGAAGGTCGAGCTGAGGAGGACTTCTACTTGCATTAGATGCTGAAAAAGGTTTTGACCGTCTCAACTGGGCCTTCCTACAACAGGTGCTGGTCAGATATGGATTCCCACCACAAGTGATTCGACAAATATTTGCACTGTATTCTTCCCCCTCAGCACAGGTGATCCAGTCTGGATTCCTCTCCCCTGCATTTCGAATTACAAATGGAACGCGGCAGGGGTGCCACCTCTCCCCACTTCTCCATGTCCTGGCATTGGAGTCCCTATTACAACTCATTAGACAGGACCAGAACATACAAGGAGTACGACTGGGAGAGAAACAGATAAAAATCAGCACCTTTGCTGATGATGTACTGTTATATGTTACTAATCCAAAGGAATCCCTTCCCACTTTGTTGAATCTAATTAAGGCCTATGGGTGTGTCTCCTACTACTCTGTGAATGCGGCCAAAACACAGGCCATGCCTTTAGGCATCCCAGCACCCCTCCTCACAACCCTTACCCCCACCTACAACTTTGATTGGAGAACAGACTCCATAAAATATTTAGGGTTAACGATTATGAAAACTCCTGCGAACCTGATGGCGAACTACATAGCTGTCTGGAACAAATGTAACCAGTTATTGAAACAATGGGCACCACTGTACCTGTCCAGGACAGACTACGTAGTATTACTTAACATGTCCATATTGCCAAGCTTGTTGTATCTGTTCCGTACTCTCCCTCTCCGCCTAGCCCATTCCATTTTAAAGCGATCCAGTCAGACGTGGGGAGATTTGTGTGGGCATGGGGAAAGGCCCGGGTGCCCCTTAAGCTGCTACAAGCCAGTGGTATTTAATACCGACCAGATTACATAAAATTTTCCCTTCCACCCCCTCAGATTGTTGGAGATGTCATGGGGCCGAGGGCACGTTCCACCATACGTGGTGGCAGTGTGCGCAGTTGGGTCACTACCGTACGCAAGTCCATGAGCTGTCCCGAGACATAACGAACAGCACCCTCCCCTTTACCCCTAAAACATACCTGTTGCTGGATCTCCCAATGAGGATGCCCCAGTACAAAAGAAAGATGTTCTTACATATTGCTTGGACAGCACAGCAACTAACAGCAAGGCGGTGGAAGTCTCCTGTATCCCCTAAGAAAGACCTAGTTGAGGAATTGAACAAACAATGGATATACGAGACTTCCTATTCATTCCTCTTCCCTCCTTCCACACTCTACCTGAAATGTGGGAACTCCTGGCACACATGGAGTTCAGGTACCCTAAGGGGATTGTTACTGAATGTCATTTCATGTATGTACTACAGGCCTGACCTCGACCTCACTTGCCTAATACCGGGTCGGTGATGAACAACAGTAGAACCTCCATGCATTACTTGACTGTTGAAGATTAAAAGGGTGTTGCAGCACAATTGTCAATGTATTACAATGTACCAAATATGCATTCCCTCCCCTCCCTCTTCCCCTCTCTATTTCTATAGCCCTTGCCTATCTCTGCTTTAAAACTCAAAATAAAAGTTTAAAATCTGAAATGGTCAGATCTATTATATGGTGCTGTAGCTTCACAGGATAGATATAACTAGGGGTATTTTTGTACTCAGAAGCTGTTGCTGAACACATTGTGGGATTTTGCATAGTACTAGCACACATCAGGTTCATGAAATACAGTACATATTTTAAAAAAAACTTCTTATAAATGTGTGTGTTAAAAAAACAAACTACATTTTACTACAAGAGAGTAGCAGTTAAATGGCTACATAAAAAGTGACAAATTACCCTCCAGTAAATGTTGGTAGATATGTCTACCTAATATACTTTTATGCGGCAGTTTTGATTTCTGTGATGGCTAATAAACTTAGAGTACAAACATACACATTGAAATGTTATTTTTACCCCTTGTATTTTGTGATCTGTAACTACCAAGAATAAACTGAAATCTTGGACATATGTGATGTACTCTTTAAATTATTACAAATTAAATGTAATTTACTTTTTATTTCTTTTTCTTAAGCTGCACTGGCAATTAATTATTGCCATAACTGAAAAAAAGGTTAATTTGTATTGCATTTTTGTGTATTGTTGTTATAATTAATGAGAATTTCTGTACAGTATATGTCACGTCAAATTAAAGCCTCTTTTGTCCTTTTAACAACTGTACATAATATGTGTTGGTGCAATAAATGAGAATGATGGAAACTGCGGTTGAACACACACACAAAGTAAAAATGCAAAAAAACATTTGGCCCTTAAAGGTACAGTGTAGTGTTAGGGTTACAAATCTATATTCCTACCACTACAGTATTAATGTCCCTATTTAGTTTTAGCCCCTCAACTGCAAATTTAAAAAAAATAAAGAAATAAATGAAATCAAAATAAATCATAGGCCATGATGTGCCTGTGATTCTGCCATAAATTATGATCAGGTATGAGAGTCAGGAAGTAACAGTCCCAGTTCTCTTACCCCAGAGGACTTGGAGTTGTGGCTTGATACCACACTTACAAGCCTTATAATTAGTAAAATGTTTACATTTGGGTACAAGGCACTATAACAACTTTATCTAGATAAAGTTGTTCTAGTTAGTACAGTGTTTCTTTAAGTGAAAAATAAACAAAGCTTGGTCTTTATAGGGTAAAGTAACAGTCATTTGACTGTTTGGTAGATACGCCTTCTCATTAATACTAACAAAGTGAGTTTTGCATGTATGTATATATAACCTATCACGTGATGTGTTTGTGTGTGTGTTTGTATTTTTATGCTTACAAAATTGTGATAAGATAAACAGGTGGTGTGCAGTGCAATGACCTAAAAACATGACCCCACAATACACCCGGTCCCAATAATGTAATTGTGAGACAAAAAAAATTAAATAAATGACAAATACCTAGAGAGGATAATGTACCGTATATACTGGAGTATAAGCCGAATTTTTCTGCACATTTTTTGTGCAGAAAAAGCCCCACTCTGCTTATACTCGAGTCAGTGTCTGTATTATGGCAACTTACATTGCCATAATACAGACCAGGACCGCTGGGCTTAATACAAGCCCGGCGGTCCTGTTGGGGGCTGGCAGCGAGCTGTTACTTACCTTTTGTAGCAGCTCCGGTCAGCTCCCTTCACCTCCGTTCCTTCCGCTCACTGTCAGCTCCCTTCACTTCCACTCCGTTCAGCTCACTGTCTAAATCTCGCGAGTCCTGCGGCCATCAGAGCGTTGCCACGGGTTACCGTGGCAACACACCACGCGGCACACAGACCGCGAGATTTAGACAGCTGAATGGAGTGGAAGTGAAGGGAGCTGACCGTGAGCGGAAGGGAACTTAGGTGAAGGGAGCTGACCGGAGCTGCTACAAAGATAAGTAACAGCTTGCTGTTGGCCCCCCCTGCTCAGCCCATGCCACTGGACAACCAAGGAATGAGAGAGCACCCCTCCTTGGCCAGGTAACAAGCAGGGAGGGGGGACAAAAAAATTAAACAATTAAATAATAAAATAAATTTTAAAAAAATGAAAGTAATTATATTAAAATTAAAACAAAATATTAAAATAAATATTAAAAATAATACGAATGCCCTCCCCCCACCCAGTTTACACATACACACACACTACACAAACACGCGCACACACTGCATTCATACAAACACACTGCATTCATTATATACACACACTACACACAAACACTCTGTATTCATTATAAATAAATATTTTAAATAAACACTGTAAATAAATATTCAATTAATGTAATTTTATTGGAAACTAATTTTATTTAGAAATTTACCAGCAGCTGCTGCATTTCCCACCCTAGTCTTATACTCGAGTCAATAAGTTTTCCCAGTTTTTTGGGGTAAAATTAGGGGCCTCGGCTATATTTGGGTCGACTTATACTCGAGTATATACAGTATATAGATTTTCCCTGCAACATAAACAAAAGTATACACTCTCATAGAGTAATATAGTAGTAACTCAAGGTATTTTCCACAATAAAATCTATAAGCGATCAACTCACATTTTAATGAGTCTATAAAAAAAATGGCTCAGGTAGTACAGCTCCAGATATCAGAGGGATCCTCATTCAGTAAGATCAGGAATGGTAGGCCCTCACAGTGGAGATAGATGAAGTACACCAACTTTCAATTTAAAATCAAATGGTATTTATTACACAAAAGAAAAGTTTAAAAGCTTACATATAAAGTGCCTCTATCCCACAGTTCATTAGTCCAAAATTAAGCGTTTCAACGTTTTAACTAGCGTCTTCCTCAGGTGGGAAAATTACAAAATTGTCGTGCTTTAGGAGCGCAAAAAACTTTTAGCGTTACTATTTTTTTACTTTAAGAAAATGTTGTGGGGCTGTTCACTTACTCTCTTGTTTCTGTGTGGTATATTTGTAGCACAATTTAAAATCCTTAAATGCTTATATGGTTGCTGTCAAAAATGCAAATAAAGGAAAGATTTGTAACTTCTGCCCATCTGTTAGCAATCTCAGATCTGATTTGCTTTTCCTTTCCTGTGTGCCGAGAAGTACAGTTTGCCCTTTCTTGTGAGCAGAGTAACATGGTGAAGCCTTGACATACTTTCCTGCATAATAACTGTCACAATGATCTATCCCGGGGCACTTCCTACACACTGTTTTCACTATGGCTGCAGCCATTTCTGATGCCTTTTACACAATCAGATTACGCATATGAATGTCTGACGGAATTGTTGATCAGTCAGGTAATTTCATTTCTATTTTTCTTCTTCAGTGGAAAGTGCCAACCATGCTATCCATAGGCTCCAGCATAGAGAACAGGAACAACTGAAGGTAAACACTGAAGGTTTTTAGTTTGTTTTTTTAAATGTCTTAAATAAACAAAAACCCTTGTTCCTGCTGGTTCACTAAAGGTTTTTTTTTTTTTATGTTTTAAATTAAGGAAAAACCCTTGCTGGATCTTATTTTCTTGCATTACACTGTGATTTTCTTTGGATCTGTTAATGTGATTACATGTTCAGTGCATACAATCTGCTTTAGAATAAGTCAAAAATGAAAAATGTAAAAAATATTTTCAATATTCCCCACCACCTCCAGTAAAGAGAAACATGTACATTCATGGAGTCTGGGAAAAAGTGGTACTAAATGTAGGTACTACTTCTTATGTATACCATTTATTTTTGGCAATTTCTAGCAATGGAGGAGCTTAAAGGAGCACTTCAAGCACCATAACCACTACAATTCACTGTTGTGGATATTGTGCATAGAGTGAAATTGCTCCCCCCTCTCACCCAATGTGGCTAAGCGCATCAGCTGCTCACTCTCTGACAATGAGCTAAGCCCTGCATAACAAGTATTTGTTCAATTAAGGGAGTTTCGACCTGCGCCCAATGGACCCCTGGTGAGCTGTCATGCTGCTAGCAATAGATTTTTCCCAACATCTGTTTGTCAAATGTCTTTGGTTATCATGTATAAGTGTGTCCTGAACCAACTTGCATGAGTTTTCCGTGGTCTGGATATGTGCATTTACAAGTTCAAGCGCATGCTCACAGAAGTCCAATTGTGAGAGGAGAAAATATGAATGCTGAAGGTGCCAAGAGATCAATATCCTGTGCAACAAAGATAATGAAATAGTTACTGGACAAGGAGAAATCTAATAATGAAAGAGACAAAAGAGACAGTGTTGCTTTAATTAAGATAATTGATATAGCGATAATCACCATCTTGTTAAAATCCAGATGTGTTTTGTGGAGAATTGCCCAGTGGATTACAAATTTTAGGAAAAAATAGTCGAATTCTCAAACTTTAACCAGCTAAGCTATTTTGGATTGAAATTTATTATTTCCTTGACTATTCTTAAGAATCTCACAAGTGGTTAACAGGTGTGCGTATGCATGCTTGTTGATGTATACCTATGTGCAGTTTTATTTTTTTCCGTCATAGTCACATGGAATGTAGCTCTTTATGGATGACAAAATAATTGATATCAGGTGAAAGCAATTTAGTTGTGGAAGGTGTGAAGGCATCTGGACACGGAGCAGTGGTCTGCTAAATCTCCCTCATCTCCATATTCACTGTGCTTCTTGCATGGAAAACGTGATGCAGTCCGCTTCATTCAATATTCTTTGAGAAGAGGTTTCTGATTAAATGGAATTCCCACCACCCAAAAACGACTAGTACTTAATTGCCTCCAAAAATTAGTGATTGCAAAGACTACACCTTAGTAATGTACACAGTTGTAATGTTCTAATGTATGCATTAGCAATACAACCAACCTAAAAATGTATGTGAACAGCTAGAAATATGAACAAAACATATAAGGCAAGAGTGACTAAATGGCAGATCCCACTTTTTAGAGAACTATAACTAATGTGATACTTTGCCACCCCTACTTCTGGCAAAGCATTGTGGCGTTCTCATTACAGACCATATGGCTTGCATTTAATTACAGTGTTTGTGGGGAAAAAAAGTATTTTGATGCCTGAATAATATCTGCCTTACAATGTTAGGATTAGGGGCATGTCCTTTAACCCCTTAAGGACCAAACTTCTGGAATAAAAGGGAATCATGACATGTCACACATGTCATGTGTCCTTAAGGGGTTAATAATCATTCCTCCAAATGATGTTACATCTCTTAGAACGAGTTTCATTATTATGATCTCTCTGCTTATAGTTTTCATACAAAAGGAATGAAGCCCATAAGTGCCAAAGTAAATTAACTTGAATTTTATATCCCAAAGCATATGTATATGGTCCTTCCATCTCTCTTTTCCTGCTTTGGAAGGGAAGTAATACCTGTACATCAAGCATGTCAAACTCAAAGGCTAACACAGCCAAATAAACAAGGTTTAAGTTCATGTGGGCCGCAAAAAAAACACAAAACTTTTGTTTTCATAGAAACTTAGGCTTATTTAGAAAAGTACAGTATAAAAAAAAGTTGCCTTACTGACACTGGACGTCATCACGCTCGTAGGACTTCAAAGTAAACAAAAGGGCAAATTTATTTTGAGACATGCATTTGCATATAACTAATGTTTCAGTCCAACTACCTTGACATATTAAGAAAAGTTTGGTAATGGGACTGAAATGGTGAAAGTATGCTGTTGCACAGCTGTAAAAAACCAAATAATGTTATATTGTTTATTTTAAAGTCCTAGGAGTGTGTTCTTCACTTTGGCTGAGATCATCAAACATGATGATCTCAGCCAATCCAATGCTTTCCCATATGAAATAATTGTGAGGCTATTGTGCATGTGTGGCAAAAAGCTGCGCGGCCAATCAGCATCTCCATGGGAGTGTTCAGCGCCTCCATGCAGACCCAATCTAATACACTGCCCTTCCTCCCACTCTAATACATTGCCCACAAATTCAATACACTGCCTCCCCCTCCCATCACTCTAATACACTGCCCCACTCACTCCCCACTGTAATACACTGCCACATCCCCCAAATTAATACATTGCCCTCCCCCAAATTTAACACACTGCCCCCTTTCCCACCACTACACTGCCCCACTCCCTCCCCCAATTTAATGCACTGGCCCCTTCCCTCTCCCAAATGAATACACTGCCCTCTCTCCCAAATTAATATTTCTTTTTTATAAATGTTTTTTCCCCAATTTATTATATTTATATATATATATATATATATAATTTCACACACACATTACATGTTTATGTATGTATATAAATATGTACACACATATGCCTATAATACGTGTGTGTGTGTGTGTATATATATATATATATATATATATATATATAAACACAAGATCCAGCGCACTCACCTATCCACTAAACGGCAACTTCAATGTTTACATTGCCGTTTAGTGGATAGGTGAGTGCGCTGGATCTTGTGTTTTGTATTATTTGGCCCCCAGCAGCACCCCCATTTATGCATGTTCAGGTGAGTGCAGCCAACCCCCCCTTGTTTTTTATATATATATATATATATATATATATATATATACACACACACACACTTTTATTTCCTATATATGTCAAATATATTAATAAAGCATTTTAAAATATATTATACATCTAAATGCATATATATGATTTCATTATAAGTGTACTTTGAGATATATACACATATCTCAAAATACACTTATAATGAAATCATATATATGCATTATAGATGTATAATATATTTTAAAATGCTTTAATTATAATAGCTGTCCACCTGCTGGCTGCTCATAGAGTCCTTTTTTGTCGATGTGATCATGGTGCTCACATGGCCCTGGAGGGCCGGGTTTGTGGGAGAGGCTGCAGGGGGACTGCTGGGATCTCTGGGAGTCCTACCTGACCGTGATCACCGCAGATCGCCGGTCCAGATGAGTCCAGGGCTCCTATTTGCCGCAGATATTCCAGGTATGTGCGTGGTCCTTAACGACCGTTTTTGTCAGACGTACCTAGTACGTCCACGGTCGTTAAGGGGATATACATAGAATAAAATTATATATATATCTAAGTGTGTTTTTATATAAATATATATATTTTAATATCAAAATACAGTTAGAATAAAACTACATAAATACATAATTTTTTATTTTTTTTATTTTTACAGCTTTTTATTTATTTCTAATTCATTGTTTTTTATATTTATTTTTTACTCTAAATGTATTTTTATATTAATTAATAGTATGATGTTGTATATAAGATTATATATGTGTGTGTGTGTGTATGTATATATATATGTGTGTGTGTGTGTGTGTGTGTGTGTGTGTGTGTGTATGTATGTGTATATATATATATATATATATATATATATCATATACACCCCCTGTTGGCAGCACTATTGACACCTATTGCGGCTATGTGACCGCTCTTTTAGAGCGGTCATATGGCCCCTGGGGGTCCTAGTTTGCAGAGGGGGGGGACTGTCTGCGCTCCGCCCAGACAGTCCCCCCTCAGAAGAAGACCAATCGCCCGGTGGGGGAATGGCGGCAATCTGTAAGTACATGGGGAGGGAGGGCAGAGGTTAATTGTTTAAACAACTGACAGTGAGGGGGGGGGGTATTGTACGATGCCTCGACATCGAGGCATTGTAATTACCCATAGAGCGATTGCTTCCAGTGCTCAAATTTCCCGCAGACGTACCTGATACGTCCGCGGTCCTTTAAAGACTGTTTTTTGTCTGACGTACCTGATATTTCCATGGTCACGAAGGGGTTAAACGGACAATATAGTCGCCAGAACAACTACAGCTTATTGTATTTGTTCTGGTGAGTAGAATCATTCCCTTTAGGCTTCTTGCTGTAAACCTGTAAACCAAGCATGTCAAACTCGCGGCCTACAAGGGACATATTTGCCGCCCAGCGAGCCGCGAATACATGCCTAGTGTTCCAAGCAGAGTAGGCACCTGCTTTACCCACATTGCAGGTGCCCACTCTGCTAAAACTTACCCGGCCGGGGAGGAGGGCCAGCGAGGGAGCTCAGTGTTTCTGCTCCTCACTGCTCCCTCTCCATCTGTTGTTAAGCCGGGCGCAGAAATATGACCTCATATTCCGGCACCTGGCATCACCGCGCGAGGGAGCAGTGAGGATCAGAAAGAAGTACCCCAGGGAGATGCCCCACATCAGCTCCAAAAGGTAGGGAGCAATAAAGAAAAGTGTGTGTGTGCAAGTGTGTGTGTGTGTGTGTGTCTGTCAGTGAGTGTGTGTGTGTCTGTCAGTGAGTGTGTGTGTATCTGTCAGTGAGTGTCTGTGTCTCAGTGTGTGTTGGTCAGTGTTGCATTGGCTGCGTCTGAACAGTGGAGTACCTGGAGGTGCATGGAGGCACGCCACGTCACATTCCGACGTGACATCAACGTGCTCCACCTTCACAGGGTTTCAAGAAGTATCGGAGGATCAGATTTGGCACAGGGTGCGGACGGCGCCATTAGAGGTATACCAGAGGCTGCACTCTGGAGTCGCATACTGGCAGCGGCAATGTGAGTGGAGACTGCTTGTTGGCTAGAGCGGGGTGCTGGGATTTAGTAGAGGGGGAGGACTGAGATTTAGTATATGGAGGGGGTGGGGACTGGGATTTAGTATATGGGATTTAGTATATGGGGGGCTGGGATTTAGTAGAGGGGGGGCTGTGGTTTAGTAGAGGGGGATGCTGTTTTTTTTTTTGTTTTTTTTTTTACTGTAATTTTCAAAATAAACCTATGTTTCTATGAAAATGTAAGGTTGTTGTTTTTTTTTTTTTGCGGCCCATGCAAGACTTTGTTTGACATGCTTGCTGTAAACAATGTATTTTCAGAGAAAATTCAGTGTTTAGATTACAGACTAGTAATAACTACACTGGCCACTCTTTAGATGGCTGCTACGGCTGCTTCCTTGGGCAGTGCTGCAGAGTAAGCAGCACTGCCATTCAGTGCATGCAGCCACTGAACTTTTCTCATAGAGATGCATTGATTCAATTCATCTTTATGAGGAGATGCAGATTGGCCAGGGCTGTGTTAGACTTGTGATGGCTCTGCCCCTGATCAGAGGCAGGAACTACAGACTTGAATACAAGTAAGCTGTTACTATATTTAGGGAGGCAAGGCAGGACAGGGGGGCTAGATGGTGGTTTTAACACTATAGGGTCAGGAATACATGTTTGTGTTCCTGACCCTATAGTGTTCCTTTAAGCTTCATAAAAGCCTGCAGATGTTGCAATAAGCGAGAATGTGACGTGGTGGTTGAGATACATAGAATGCTTCTCACTATAACCCAAAAATGTTCTACCTACTTCATATATTTTAGACACTTTACTCTCTGGAAAAGTTTTGACACACAACATTTACTTTTAAAACTGCTTTTGTATTACATTAACGTTTGTAAATTTTCAAACCATTATAAATCTGCCAAAAAACGCATTCCTTAAATGATGGGTATATTTTAATTCTTTAAACTAAGAAGATTAAACCGTACTTTGTTTGTATTAACATCAAGAGCGGGAAACCGCAGTGACCTATACACTCCTATTCAAAATCAACAGTGGTCTGTAGGCTGTGGCCAAGGCTAGAGTGGTGAAAGCCCACAGGACTAGTACGTTACAGTGCCTCTCTGTTTACCGGAAAATGCGTAGAAAGGTCAATGCACAAAATAACTCAGGCGAACAAGTATGCCATCTATATCTTTAGAAAGCTAAATCAGGCTTTCAGTTTATTATATTTTGGAGCTTTGGTGTGACTACCTTCTAACAAAATGTTACTTTTTATGTAGAAATAAATATCTTTACAGGTGTTTGCCATTCTGTATCAAACCTAAGGATCTGATATTTTTACTGGGTTATCAATACTTATTCTCCAGAGGTGTTGAGATGGACTAAAACAAAAATGTTTATTTTTTAAAATTTTGCATTAATGATCTTTAGTAAAGAAATTTATTTATGAAGACTTGTGGCTGTATCTTATTCCAAGACCAGTTTTATATATTCAGTATATGACAATCCTGGAATTGCCTGCAGAGATTGTGTGTATTATGTATCAAATACACACAAGGTTCACTGTTGTATAAATGTGAACAATGTATTATGGGAGACTGATTCTAGGGACATCATAAAACACCACAAGACACCTGGTCGTCTATGAAATATACGATGTGCTTGTTATTTTAAGTTACATCATATTTTCAAACCCTGTACTTCATGATGTGATGTCATTTTGTGAATTATTAGCAGATACTGTATTAAAGTGTACATTGTAGAATTCCTAGATCTTAATGTAGTACCTAGATTGATGAGCCACACTTCTGTTTAACCCCACTCCCATGATAGTTAGAATGTCAGCAGCTGAAACACTGGAGCCTAAGGAAAGCTATAGCAGCTAAACAGACTGAGCCCCAGAAATTTGTGTGTTGGTGTGTATTGTGCATTCCACAGCTAGAATGGCAGGAAACATTCACCATCAGCTGTGGAATGAACATTCAGTATATACAGTTATGTGCTTTATGATGTCACCAGAACACTTTGAATTATGTTCCCATAATATATTTTTCATAATTGTGTTTCTCTACATATTCATATATGTGCCGTTGGGGTGTTCTATGCCATCCCACATTAAAAACCTATTAATAGATACCTGGGACTCTTCTCTATCAGCTGGAGCCATTATTAGTGGCCCCAGACTTTTTGATGAGCTGCTTGTCGGTTACGCAGCACCGATCTCAGTGCATTGGGCATAAAAAACATAGGAAGTGGTCACACTGAAATTAGCCAGAAGGTGGCAGCACCATACCAATTTTTTTTGTTACATTTTCCTTTGTTGATATTAGTACTAATATGAGCACAGGGAAGCCTTTGGGATTAGTATTAAATTGGGGATTAATATTATGGATTAAGATTAGGTTTAGAATAAATATTAGGTTTATTATTAGTTTTATTGTAACCTAGTAAACATGCAGAAGCCAGACACAGAGAGATGGATGCAGGTTTTCAGGAAGTAAGAGGTCTTTATTAACATACCGATCGGGTCTCAGATGAACTAACGTTCCAAAACAGGTCTGAGGGCCGAACACATGGAGTACATGCTTTTTATAGAACTATAACTCCCATTAATAGCTCCACCCGCACATACCCTTAACCAATCAGTGGACAGGATTTGGATTTCCTTATATGGGCAGACCACATGGCTCATCCAAAACAAAGGAGAAAGGAATGTGATTTCAGTTCCTGCATTCCTGCACATGCTCAGTACATTGATGACAGTATCTTAGCTACATGTAACTAACTAACTGATAAACTCATAAACTTAAAATGTTTGTGTGTTTTGATAGACGTTTGAAACCTGTCTAATTGTGTTTTTAATTTAATTTCCAGTTGTTCAAAATTGGCCTCCTTCTTATATGTTTCAATTCTTTCTATTTCCTCATCCACCTCCTTATTGACCTTTTCTAATCTCTTCTTTTCAAATCTACAGAGTATATCCATAAATTTGCGAGAGCAAGTCCCTGCTGCCTCTTCCCATTCTTTGAGGAATATCACATCATACTATTTTTATCATTATTATAAATATTTCTAAGGGACTTCTGTAGCCCGAACTAGATATATTATTCTAACAATTGAAACACTTAAGGGACTACCTACCCACTTTTGATCTGACCCTAAAGATCGCAATGCCGGAATAGGCTTATTATGATTATCAACTTAGCATATTCCGTATAAACATATGCAATGTCAGAATAATGTTATTTCGTGGATTGAAAACGTTAGTCTCTAAATTAAGTTACTAGAGGCTTTAGACACATTTTTTAAAATCACTGGTTCAAAGGATATTGATGCAATTTTCATCCCATTATATTATGTTGTAGAATTTGTGCCGACCCGCTCGCCCGGTAGGCGCCAGTCTGTTCATTAACAGTGGAAACAAGTTTTGTTGGGATTTGGAGTTTGAATTTTTCTAGGATTAGTAACTCATTTACCGAAATAAAACTATAAAATAAAAGATTAACCGTTCAATGTGAATTACCTGAGTGGTAATAGTTATTACATATAAAACACAGGGATAATCATCTGGGTGGATAGTTATAGGTATCATGAAAAAATTCCCATCAATGCCGATGCATCACGCTTAACATATTCTGGACCTCATACTGAGGGCACTAAGGAGTTAACAATTTGGGCAAATGGTTGTTCTGCCTTGTGATTGAATTTGATTGGGGCATTTGAATAGCCTCATTTACATAGTGAGATGCTGATATTTTCGGCACGAAAACCACGGTAAGGTTACTTGTTTTTGATTGGTTCACTAAGAATCTCTCTGGAGGAAGTAATAGGTATATAAACTAGACCCTATAGATTCCAATTCTGGCCCCTGACAAAGGTGCATGTTCTAAGCACCGAAACGCGCGTCGGGTTTTTTCACTTTACTTTCTATTTCACTATCACACTGGGCACTTTTCACTATATGCAGGTAACCAACATCCTAAGTATGGTACTGCACACTAGCACTATATAACTTTTTAAACCTCCTTTTTAGTCCTAATACCCTACCTTTATTTAGTATCCTTTGAAGGTGATTTATTATTATTAGAATTTTCATGTAGGATTGATACTATTAGTCTCTTCACAGGATCATAATAACAGTTTGAGTGATATATTCCCTCTTAGAAACCTATGGTTACTGTTTCTATATGGTATCAATTTAGAACAGTGCTACAATTAAGTGATTTCTGGATAAAGTGGAGTTTTATATATCCTCGAACTGTGAGCTTAATACATCATTTCTTCTTTTTGACTGTCAGAATACCACTATTCAGATCTATTGACAGGCTTTTAGGGATTAGGACTTCTTATCTGTGACCTTATTGTTATGATATTTAGTTGCCATTATACATAGACTGTGACCCACAAAGTTATAATAAAGTCAGGAGTCTGAGGTGTACTGAAGTCACGGTTTAGTATTCGTGAGGTTTAGCCTATTCGGCTGGTCACATTACTTAACATTTGGATGACCTTATAGTCAGGGAAGGGTCCTTTAAGTATTTCAAGCATATTAATTATTATTATTTATCTTTATAATTCCAGCACATGTTTGAACCACTGGATAGGTATATCCAGTGATTCGAGCTCTCTTTCTTTTTTGTCTAGAAATTAGGGGTTAAGCCCCAGGACACCCCTGGAGTGTCCACGCAGGTGCTTCTGTGGACTCCACAGTGGGTTTGTCCCTCTTTAGGCCAAACCATCACTAGTGGTCTCCATTTATATATATATATATATAATAATATTGAACAAAATTATAAATGCAACCCTTTAGTTTTTGCCTCCATTTTTCATGAGCTGAACTCAAAGATCTAAGACTTTTTATATGTACACAAAAGGCCTATTTCTCTCAAATATTGTTCACAGGTGTGGCATATCAAAATGCTGATTAGACCGCATGATTATTGCAAATGTGTGCCTTAGGCTGGCCACAATAAAAGGCCACTCTAAAATGTGCAGTTTTATTACACAGCACAATGCCATAGATGTCGCAAGTTTTGAGGGAGAGTACAATTGGCATGCTGACTGCAGTAATGTCCACCAGAGCAATTGAATGTTCATTTCTCTACCACAAGGAGTCTCCAAGGCGTTTCAGAGAATTTGTCAGTACATCCAACCGGCCTCACAACCGCAGACCACATGTAACCACACCAGCCCAGGACCTCCACATCCAGCATCTTCACCTTCAAGATCGTCTGAGACCAGCCACCCGGACAGTTGCTGCAACAACAATCGGTTTGCATAACCAAAGAATTTCTGCACAAACTGTCAGAAAACATCTCAGGGAAACTCCTATGCATTCTCGTTGTCCTCATCATGGACTGGCCCTGACTGCAGTTCATCATCATAACCAATTTGAGTGGTGGCTGTAGGGTTATGGTATGGGCAGGCGTATGTTATGGACAACTAACACAGGTGCAATTTATTGATGGCATTTTGAATTCACAGAGATAATGTGACGAAATCCTGAGACCCATTGTTGTGCCATTCATCCACAACCATCACCTCATGTTGCAGCATGAAAATGCACGGCCCCATGTTGCAAGGATCTGTACACAATTCCTGAAAGCTGAAAACATCCCAGTTCCTGCATGGCACGCATATTCACCAGACATGTTACCCATTGAGCATGTTTGCTATGGATCGGCGTATACGACCGTGTGTTCCAGGTCCCACCAATATCCAGCAACTTCGCACAGCCATTGAAGAGGAGTGGACCAACATTCCACAGGCCACAATCAACAACCTGATCAACTCTATGCGAAGGGGATGTGTTGCACTGTGTGAGGCAAATGGTGGTCACACCAGATACTGACTGGTTTTAGTACCCCACCACCTCCCCAATACAGTAAAACTGCATATTTTAGAGTGGCCTTTTATTGTGGCCAGCCTAAGGCACACCTGTGCAATAATCATGCTGTCTAATCGGCATCTTGATATACCACACCTGTAAGGTGGATGGATTATATCGACAAAGGAGAAGTGCTCACTAACACAGATTTAGACAGATTTGTGAACAATATTTGAGAGAAATAGGCCTCTTGTGTACATAGAAAGTCTTAGATCTTTGAGTTCAGCTCATGAAAAATGGGGGCAAAAACAAAAGGGTTGCGTGTATAATTTTGGGATATATATATATATATATATATATATAGAGAGAGAGAGAGAGAGAGAGATGGAGAGAGAGAGAGAGACGCACACACACCCTATATATGTATGTATGTGTGTGTATGTATGTCTAAAAATACTTTCCTCTGTGATATCTGCCCCCCTTCCTTTATTGGTACATAGCCAAATATTTTTTTTTTAATAACACTCACCTCATCTGTGAATCTTCCTATTCCCTAGCTTTATTGCAGGCCTATTTGACCCTCTTATCCATCTCGTCCACAGTCTGATTTTAAAACTGCCCTGCCTCACGTCAGAACAGTACTCGATCCACCTTCACCTGATCCAGTTGCAACAAGTAAGGTAGTCTTCTGGAGAACTTTATTAACATTTAGTGCTGCACATTTGCCCTCCCAACCCACCCCAAGCTCATCATTCAATTTATAAATAGATTCTCACACATAATCAAAAATAACAGCTGCAAACATAGTCTCTAATGAGCACTCTTCTATATTCTCTTAATCCCTAACACTCAATCGTTATCTTCCTCATTTCTGCTTGTTACACTCTAGCCCAGCTTTCTATGTCACTGCATCTTCTCTCTGTGTCGCCTCGGCCTACTCCCCCACCTAAAAGTTTTTTTTCTGCAAGTGCATACCCATCTGAATAATGCATACCCATCCTCTTATTTTTTTTTATTTCTCTCTCAATATCAAAATCTCTCCTTGCCCCCACTTCCCTAAACATCCCAACAACCTCCAAATTTACCCCTCTCTACTACACTCCACACTATTTTCATCTCATGCCCTGCACTCTTTTCTCTATTTTCTCCATCCTTCTCCCACACAATCTCATTCCAGACTCCATCTCTCACAGGTGGTGGTCCGAAGACCAGAACCCCTGAGTGCCTGATAATGATGGGAGTCTCAGCATGGAAAGGACTATCAGGGTCTGGTGCAGGGTAACTACACGCCCCTGGTGTTGTGCACCAGCGTTTGTGCGGCCACATACCAGGGCCCTGATGCAGCTTCTGCGGATACCAGGTGCTTGAGGATATGCAGACCTCCCAGGAACTGGATAGGGATGCTCTGCAGCAGAAATGTATCCAGTACTAGAAACAAGGCAAGACTAGAACAGGCACCAAACAAGATGACAAGACTAGAAGAACCAAGGAACCTTTGCAGGACAGGAAGCTGAACCCAGAACATGTACACAAGACATGAGGGAAACATGAACAGGGCAGGACAGGACTATGCATGAACTGGGAATACAAGACAAAATAAAACAAGACAAGAGATACAAGGCAAAACAAGAGGAGACATAACGAAGTACTATATATGTAAAACATTGGAAATTTAGACATATCTAAATGGCCAAGATGTATGCAGCCCACCACTGCGCCAAAGTACTCCAATTATGGTGGGTCCTAACTGCCTAAATATGCATGACTAAATGAACAACAATAAAACACACACAGTACTTACCTGCAGGGAAATGTGCAGAGGAATGAAACCACTGCCTGCAGGGACAGCCTGAAACAAAAAGGATTAAATGGCAAAGGAATGGGTGTGGCAACAAAAAAACAAACATTTAAAGGAAGTCAGGTGACTGGGATTTCCAGGAACGGAATAAAGGAATGAACCCAGAAAACCCAGCATAAAGAAAACCAGAAAAATCAAGAAAAAAATAAACAAGAATTGAAAAAAAGAGTACTGGATACCAGAAGCCAAGGCCAAACATCTCCACAGAACAGGATGTGACACCATCCATTTAAAACACACTCACACCTTCTGCCTCTATTTCTCCTCCTGCTTCTATCAGCTGGTGATGTCTCTCCCAACCCAGGGCCTCACCTCCTCTGCTCACACTAAGACAACCAGAAACCACACAAATGTCATCCCAATACAATGCCATCTATCCCCATCTACCAATATTCAGTGTGCACTCTGGAATGCCTGCTCCATCTGCAGCAATATAAAATCAACAGCCATACACAACTTCTTCATCTCAAATTCTTTCAAACTATTTGGCTGTCCCCCTCTGATAGCACTAATCCTGCTTCCTTATGTTTCGGTGTGCTATAATTCTCCCACACTCCCAGACCAAACAACTGCAAAAGAGGTGGTGTAGGCCTCTTTCTCTCCCTTCAATGTACCTTCCAATCAATCTTCCCTGCCCCTCCTCAATCGTTTCCTTCCTTTGAAGATCACACTGTCCGACTTTTTTAATCCACTCCTCTAAGAATTGCCATCATTTATCGCCCCCTCCCCTCCCAATCTAGGCTTTTCATTAAACACTTTGCTTCCTGGCTACTCCATTTCCTCTCCTCTAGCAGTTCTTCCCTCATTCTTTGGGACTTTAATATCCTAGTCAACAACCCCAACTGCCCTGATGCCTCTTGTATGTTCCAAGTAATAAAGTTCCAGATAGAATTGAAATTAAAAAACAAGCAATATATCAATGTAAAATGGAAAGCGGAATAATCCAAGGAAATTCTGTCGGTTTGAGGAAATTCTGTACTTGGGAAAAACTGGTGGATAAGTTTATTGCTAGTAATTATAGCTTATAATATAGTTGGTGTGGCCCCCATTGTGCGTCTGATCCTGGAGGGACATTAGTAAAAATGTACTTATTAATTTGGGAAAGTAATAAGGGGATGATAATATCCTAGTCCCACGGGATGGAATGTGTGACAGGTTTGAATTTTGGGTTTTAATGTTTCCTCTATTTTGATATCCATGTTTTCTATAGATATGGTTATTTTGTATTGAGATACCCTGGTAATGCCATAGAAGGATACTTACGGATATAAGTATGTAAGAAATGTATATGCATTGATTGAATTAATGTTTTTCTCTTATTAACTCTTGTATTCTGTTTTAATTGAAAACATTCTAGGGGTAATTTTTTGAGATGTCGATAGAGGAATTGTATGCATGTTTATGTAATTTTTATATGGAAAAAAAAAAATTTTTTTTTGAAGAAATAAAAAGATATTAAAAAAAGAGAAAAAAAAACATTGGCATCTCCTAAGACAAGATGATCTGCTCAAAGAAATTTTACCTCCAGAGGCTACTCTACCAGGTATAAATCCTGCTTGATCTTGATGTATCAAAGCGGGAATACAAGTTTTTAAGCGATCTGCTAAAATTGAAGCATAGATTTTTACGTCTCCATTAAGGAGAGATATTGGACGATAATTCGCCAATTTAGCTGGATCTTTGTCCAGTTTCAAAATTGGGACAATATTTGCTTGAAGCATCTCTTTAGGAAATGTACGATTCCCCACTATCTGATTGAATATCCTGGCAAGGCGCTCAGAGAGAGTATCCCTAAAAATCTTATAAAATTTATTTGAGTAGCCATCTGGGCCGGGAGCTTTGCTTATCTGTAACTTATGCATAGCTGCTTTAATATCATCAGAGGTTATTGGTTTATTTATCTCCATAAGTTGTTCTCTAGTTATTTTTGGTGTTTTTTTATTTTTAAAATATTCTGATGAGGAAAGTTGTTGTCCTACTGATTCCAAATTATATAATCGACTATAATAATCGTTAAAGGCTGCCCCAATTTTCTTTGGGCACAGTAACCGTTCCTTTTCAGTATCGATTCTATGAATCCTCCTTAATTGTTTTTTGTTTTTCAATTTATTTGAAAGCAACCTATCTGCCCTATTGCTCTTATAATACCAATTTATCTTTAATGATTGTAAATTTCTATTTTTCTCCTCCATTAATAGTTGATTTATACTGTTTTGCGTTAGTAACATTTTTTTACTTGTATCCTGAGTTAGTGAGGCTTTATTTTCTTTAGATAGTTTGTAATAATCTACATAAAGATCTCTAAGGGATTTCCCCTTCTTTTTTTTAATCTATTGTGCCCAGTTTAATTAAATAGCCTCTTGTAACGCATTTGTATGCATTCCATACGATTGGAAGTGAAACTTCTCCCCCCTCATTTTCTTGAAAAAACCTGTCTGTCATTTCCTCAATATATTCTCTGTTCTCTTTATTAGAAAGAATATTATCATTTAATCTCCAATTTGTTCTTCTAGCACTATTATTCTTTGTGTCCAACTCCAAAATTATAGCATTATGGTCGGACCTTGTAACTTCATCTATAAGAACTTTTTTAGTGCAATTGGCCAGACCGTCATTACCCAAAAATAAATCAATGTTTTTTTTAATAGTTTTTTTGATAAAACCACTTTTATTGTTATAGTTAAAAATTATAGGGAGAGTGGGGGTTCTAGAGTATTTTTATTCTTGTACATTAGAAGGCTTTCTCTAGGTTTGTTTCTGACTGTATCTATAGTACTATCAAGAAGTATACAGGAATAGTTCTTTTCGATAAATTGTTTCTTTAAAACCAGTGATTGCTCATTGAAATCATTTATTTGAGAGCAATTGCGACGTATTCTCAAAAATTGGCTTTTGGGAGCGCTTTCAAGCCATGGTTTATAGTGGCAACTAGTTTGGTCAATTGCAGTGTTAGTACATACTTTCTTAAAAAATGTTTTCGTATGTATTTTGCCATCTTTGATAAAAATATTTAAATCTAAAAAATTAATTGAATTTGTACTATATTCACAGGTCAGAATGATACCTCTACTATTAGAGTTGAGGTGTGATATAAAAGAATTCAGACAATCTTCTGAGCCCTTCCATATAAAAAACAAATCGTCAATGTATCTAAAATAGGAGACCAGATTATGCTCCCAGACATGCCGTCCCCAAATGGCAGTTGTGTTCTGGGTTTAGTAGCTCCAGTATGAAATAATGAGAAATCTAAGCAAGGTTTCTGAATATAGATTTTAATATCTGTTTCACATGTTAACATGTGTTTGCAGTGCTAAGAAACCTTCCTCTAACTTGTGGTTGAGAGTTCAATATTTTTAAGTTTGCTTTATGTTCAATTGTGATCATTGTGCAGAAATACATTATCAAAACAAAACATTTTATATTTTATAGGACAGTGTTACAAAAAAGGGCACTGAAAATGAGAAACTGCGCACCCACTGGGAAATATTCATGAAAGAACAAGAACAAAAGCGATTGGCTGTAGATGAAGAGCACAGAAAAGCAGTGCTGCGTTTAAAAGAACAGTACAACGAGATGGGCAAAGATCTCTCTAAAATTGCTTTGCTTTAAGAAAGGTTCTGTCAACATAATCAACTGTTTGTTTGTTTTTAGTATTGCTTGTGCAAAGATCTGAAACATCTAAGAAAAAAAACAACTTACATTCATTACCTCAATTTAAGTGCCTAAATATGTGGTTCTGCCTTGCGCCATGCCAGTTCATAGCAGGGATTGAGGCAGTGATAAGCTGATCAGTGTTCCACCTCTATTTCACCATTTTGGGCCAGGCGGTATGCTACTGAGGACAGAAAATCTCTGCTACATGGCAAGTAAACCATTATTAATCTGTGATGTTAGGCCCTTGTGCCCGCAGACTCCAGGCACAAAAGCCACTTTAATCATTTGAAGTGGCTATAATAACTACTGTATCCTTCTAAGGAATTATGTCAACATTACTTTAAGTGTTACTCCGGGCTGGGAATTACTTTTTTTTTTTTTTTTGGTGCTTTATGCAACTGATGTAGAAATAATGATACAAAAGAATATGTATATATATATAATTCCTCAATGATAAATATCTGCAGACTGCAGCTACATAAATAAATGGTTCCAGAAAGATTATTATTATTGCCATTTATATAGCGCCAACAGATTTTGTAGCGCTTTACAATATTATAAAAGGGGGGGATTTAGCTATAAATAGGACAATTACAAGAAAACTTACAGGAATGATAGGTTGAAGAGGACTCTGCTCAAACCAGCTTACAGTCTATAGAAGGTGGGATGTAAAACACAATAGGACAGGAAATTGCAATCAAAATAGGAGTGAAAGGGAGTGAAGTAGAGCTGGAGGAGAAAGTAGAGTGCTGCCCTTCAGGAGAGAGCAAGAGACAGGTATGTGAGGTAGAGGTTACTGTGGGAGGCCATAAGCTTTCCTAAAGAGATCGGTTTTAAGGCCATTCTTAAACGATTGAGGACTAGGGGAGAGTCTGATGGCGGAAGGCAGGCTATTCCATAGAAAGAGAGCCGCCCGCGAGAAGTCCTGCAAGCGTGAGTTGGCCGTACGCGTGCGAGCAGCGGACAAGAGAAGAGGGGCTAGAATTGTTCAGTGCTTTATGAGTATGGGTTAGCACTTTGAATTGACTCCTATAGGATACAGGAAGCCAATGTAAGGACTGACAAAGGGGTGAAGTGTGAGAGGACTGACTAGAGAGGAAAATCAGTCTGGCGGCAGCATTCTTTACAGACTGTAGCGGGGCAATACGTTTTTTGGGAAGACAAATTAGTAGAGGGCTAAAATAATTAATGCAGGAAATTACTAGAGCATGGGCAAGCTTTTAGGTACCATCTTGCGTAAGAAAGGGGCAGATGCGAGCTATGTTTTTAAGGTGGAATCTACAGGATTTGATAACATGCTGGATTTGAGGCTCGAAGGTGAGATTAGAATCAAATATGACACCAAGACAGCGCGCTTGCAAGGATGGACTGATGTGGATACCACTGACTTGAAGGGAGAGCGAAAGAAGAGGATCAGTATTAGGAGGTGGAAAGACAAGGAGTTCAGTTTTTTTGAAAGCGGGAGGACATCCAGTCAGAAATGGAGGAAATGCAAGCAGTGACACATTGCAGGACGGCAGGGGAGAGGTCTGGGGAGGAGAGAGATTGCTGGGTGTCATCAGCGTACAGGTGATAGTGGAATCCAAATGAGCCAATAAGTTTGCCAAGAGTGGCAGTATAGAGAGAAAATAGGTGACCAAGGACAGAGCCTTGGGGGACTCCAACAGAGACAAGATGAATGGAGGAGGTATCATTAGAAAAGGAGACACTGAATGAGCGGTGGGAGAGATAGGAGGAAAACCAAGGGAGGACAGTGTCACAGACACCAAGTGATTGAAAAGTTTGAAGAAGGAAAGCCTGATCAATGGTGTCAAAGGCAGCAGAGAGGTCAAGAAGTATTAATATGGAGTAGTGGCCTTTGGATTTAACTGCAATTAGGTCATTAGTAACTTTGATAAGAGCAGTCTCAGTAGAGTGGAGGAGGTGGAAGCCAGATTGAAGAGGGTCAAGGAGAGAGTTGGAATTGAGGAAGTGAGACATACAGGTAAAGACAAGTCTTTCCAGAAGCTTTGAGGAGAAAGGGAGCAGGGATATGGGCCAATAGATAAAGGGGGTGGATGGGTGGTTGGATGTTTTTTCAGGATAGGTACTACAGTAGCATGTTTAATGTCAGCAGGGACAATGCCAGAAGAGAGAGCGCAGTTGAAGATGTGTGTTAAGGAAGGCACAAGACAAGGGGATAGAGATCTGATAAGGTGAGATGGGACAGGATGAAGCCTACTAAAACCCAGTTCAAATGTGTGGGTAGTAATAAAGGTCTTCCAAAGTAAAGTACTGTGGTTTGTGTTATATAAACCCTTTAGTAGATGTTTGCAACATCTGCTATTTATATTGTTGTTTTGGCCCTCTACAGTCAATAGGTGCCTGTTTGTAATAGTTATTTTTTTTTCCTCAGGCAATACATATCTAATACTATGCCTCTTAATGTAGCAGAGCAATACAATAATTTTCTGTGACAATGAGTTTGTCATCTAAACTTTTTCTTGTTTAACTTTCGTGGTTTTCTAGCTTTTCCTACTGTCCCTGTTACAAAGCTGAGTTCAAGTGAATACATTTACTGACACAAAAGGAGTCGGAACATATAGATCTATTATTTTTTCTGATCTGACACATACAACGTTGTCTTTAAATATTTGTGAATAGAGTATAAAGCGATATAAAATTGGTTTGGATTCAAGTATATTTCAATATATTTTAACCAGTAACACAATTTAAGAAGTACATATACACAAATAGCAGTGATTGGTGTGGCTGAATAAAAAAACAACAACATGTAAAGAGTGCTACTATTGGGGTTTGCTCCTGGCAAGCCCAATGAGAAATACTACTAAAAAAATGTAGATCTGTGTTCATTAAGTATGCATTATTGCACATTACCCCATAGTATGTTGATACATCACAGTCCATGCATGCGCTATAAAGAGTCACGGAAGCGGACATGCTCACATTAAACACAATTGCTGGCTGAGTAGGTCACAATGAAGTCAGGCTGGTTTAGTTTGTTTTAAGATGATTAAGGGGTTTTAAAGAAGAACGCTTACATCTCTGGAAATCACACCATGGAATAAAACATTATAAATCACCTTTACCTTACATGTTTTACTGTGATAGCCCATTTTCTTTTAAATTTATAGTTATGATTTAGCAAATGAGAAATGAGAGCAAATTGTGAATGTAGAGCTCAACAAAAACATTAAGGGAGATTTATCAAAGTGTCTGAAAAGAGGATCAAATATGTAAATTGGGACAAGTCACCAATGCAATGTGCCTGCTGTTTACACTGGTTTTAAAAGTGATTTATAGTACTTTTGCACCACTTTTCAGTACACACCACTCCCTCAATGCTTGATTCTCCTCTTCCATGTACAATTTTCAATGGCAGAAAAGGACAATAGTTGCATCAATGATTGACAACGAGCCAAGATAAAGGCAAACCATTCCAGGATTGTGATACATGCAACACTGGATTTTTACATTTAGTTTTCAAACCTCACAATGATGGATACATGAACAGTATTTTTAAAATCCTGGCAAGTGACAATTCCCTTTAAATTCTTAAAACCTCTAGTCGTTTTGAAGACAAGTTGAGATAAAGGCCTTTATGAAACTAATGAAACTAAACAAAATGTAAAAAAATGTGTAAACCTGCAAAAGTGAGTGTGAACGCAGGAATAATTTACAACTATGTTGTATATGCTTTTCATAATACACTAACAAAATGAAGGTGTAAAACCAGTAGAGAGTGTGAGCTTTTTGGCTTTGGGCCTTTCAGCTGAATGTGGAAATGCTTTCTTTGATCTCACTGATAAGTTCGAAGCAGACAGCTGCTTTTGCTCTTCCCTGTCACTTAAACCTTGGCCTAGAGACCCTCTGTGCCACCGGCATGTATATCTTAATGACAAGTATCGTTTGACAGGTCGGGGAGAGATCATTAAATTTAAATATGTACATTTGCTAGAAGATGAAATTTAATGCTCCTCTAGTTTTGTGTACTCTGTGATATGTACACCTTAAGCACAGGAATCTTAGCTAAACCAACAGACTGTATTAATCTTATAAATCCACAAGGTTCCAAGTCTGTATGTAACATATAACCCTTGTAAACATGGTTTTGTGCATATTGCAAATCCGTAAAAGCAGTGGTTAAAAACTGAAGAAGCATATGTAATTAAGGGGCAAAACTATTTGATTTAAAGTGAAGAGATATATATAACATATGTGTAAAAAATGAAAAATACATAAAAATTGACATCCTAATGTAAATTTCACGATTTATGCTTGCCTTTCTCTTGGAGCTTCTCCACACCCGGAGTTTAAAGAGCTATTTTAAGATATTTCTTTTTTGGTTAGATTTTTTTTTTTTGTGTGTAATTCTGCCTTAAAAAAATACAAAGAACAAATGTTTGTACACCGTACAATCTCAAGACATCTCTGTGGTTTGATCTGTATGAAATCAGTCTGTGGAAACAATTTTCTGAAATCTGTTTGAAATAAACAAATTAAATGCAATAATAAAAGGATGTTGTTAAGAGTCTTGTATTTAAAATGTCATTTTAGTCGTGTTCTTTTTGCAGGTAGGAAAATATAAAACTATCTAATATTATTTCAGTGTATGTAATTGCATAAGTACAACAATGGTAGCCTGTGTCAATTTATGGCTACATGTCAAAGCTCCCTTCCTGGTAACATGGTGAAAATGTGATCACAGTGAGTGCAGGAGATGGAATAAATATTTGAGATTTCTTACAATAACACTGAACTGCAGCCAAGCTTCCCTATCCGCTACTGTCGACCTGAAGTATCATCAATCATCACGAGGTTACTGGCCTGAAAAAGGAGTTTGCCATCACTTAAACGTGCTGGAATGCTGGTCACTGCAACCAAGATTCTTCTACCTGATGGGTGGAAAGAAAAGCGTAGATGGCTATAACAGACCTTCCTAAAAGATGTGTTATATGTTGGAAGCTGTACAATGGGCCCTTCAACAAAGTGAGTAATCTAGTGTCTTCTGTAACGAATTGAGGAATTAAAGAAGGATTCTGCTGTTTCATTTGCTACCTTCAGATCGTTATTTATTTTTGATTTTTTTTTTCATATTGCAGAGCAAATATGATCCTTATCTTCATAATGCAATTATTCTGGACAATGCAGTCTGAGGTTTTGTATTTGCATGCTAAAAGAGCTAAATATTTTTAATAAAATTATAATTTGTACATTTGCTTGCTTTATGGTGGACACAATGCTTAGATTAAATCTGAATTTCATCCGGATTAAAGGGCAAACATTGTTTATAAAAACTGTAAAAATTACCACTCTAGGGTTAAGAGTGATGGGAGTTGGCACCCAGACCACTTTAATGAGCTGAAGTGGTCTGGGTGCCTACAGTGTCCCTTTAAGTGACTATCTAATACCATTTTATTTCAAATAAAAATGGCATCATGGCTGTTGGATGCACTTTAAGGAACACTGTAGGCACCCAGACCACTTCAGCTCATTGAAGTGGTCTGGGTGCCAACTCCCATCACCCTTAACCCTAGAGTTGTAATTATTACAGTTTTTATAAACTGCAATAATTACCTGCTAGGGTTAATTCCTGTTCTAATGGCTGTTTACCAGACAGCCACTAGAGGCACTTCCGGCTTCTTAGACGACTTTTGGTCATCTAAACGACGCTGGACGTCCTCGCGCTGTGCATGAGGACTTCCAGCGCCGCCGACATCCCAATAGGAAAGCATTTGAACAATGCTTTTCTATGGGGAGATCCTATGCACATTAGGTCTCCCCTGTTGGCGGGGGAGGAGCGTGGGCAGAGCTGAGCCAGCGCTGGACCCAGGTGTTATTTACCCCTTCAGCACCGCGTGAGGGGACCTTGCCGGAGAGGGAAGCTATAGTGCCAGGAAAACTAGTTTGTGTTCCTGCCACGATAGTTTCCCTTTAACTACTTCTTGTACTAAATTCAAATCCAAATGGCTAAACTATATCAAAAGTAGCTAATCTAGAAAAAAATCTCCAACTCGCTTATAGTCACATTTTGATTTTCTTAGCCTAAAATGTGCCATTCACATTTTAATCTGCTACAATTTAGAGTTTAGGGGAAAAAAACACTCTACAAGTAGACTGAGTATAGTGTTCTATTTGGTTTCAGGATTAAAGCTTCTACTGGTGAGTCAATAAGACTGGACAAGAAAAGGTTGCCCTGGTCCAGCAGATGAAAGTCAGGGCATATGGGTGAAGTAACTGTGATAGTCTAGTTCATAAGGGTAAAAAAAAATGTGTACATGCTTATTAATGCTAATATTCTCCCATTCTTTCTGAATCCTAAAATACTAAACAATTTTTAAAAAGACAAATAATTTGCTGTGAGGAATTAGCAAGAGTCAGTGAAGAGTTTCTTCCAACACACATGGCCTTTTACTCTCCCGAGTATTGAATAGGACCTGTCACTTATCTGAAAATGAAGTCCTTTTATATAATTAAACACTACTTAAAGATGGCAAAAATATTATTCAAATTGGTGCCCATTTAAGATGCTTCTATTGCAGTGAGGAATTTTACTCATGGGATATTCTTTCCCCCAAACTGGAGAGGTAGATTCATGAAGACCTCTTCCTTCCTACTCCTCCCTTGGGAAATTCCACAGGTATGGTTCTGCCTCTTTTGAAGATGGTTGTCCATTATGGTGCTCAATGAGTTTTACTATTTTTTTCTTCAAACAAGGTCTCCATTAAATGGACCTTCTGACCTGCGAGTATCAAAATCAGTGTGGGAAGGATAGAGACTGAGGAAACAACAAAGAACTTTCAGATGTTTCCAGCTATGCCCTTCCAGCTTTCATCCCCATTCATGGACTTCCATCCTCGAGTTTCTAAATATATAATTGTGCAATCCCTCTGTGGATCCACCCAGGGCCAGTGCAAGGATGCATTTTGCTGCCCCCTTTCCCCATCACCCCAAAATAGAAAATGAATCTTCATCTGTGGGTCTCCGAACTTCTTCAATATTTTATTTTAATTCTTTATTTTTGAAAGTGCAGTGTTAAATACATAGGTCAGTAATGCCAAATGATATTACAATTAGTAGATAATTGGTAACATTTGGGTCAAAGATTCAAGATGTGCTGCACTTTTTTTTTTTTGGTAAAGGAAATCAAGAGTAAACAGATACAGGCATGGCAAAATAAAAGAAACTGACAGGTTATACATGCTGCCTAAAAAACTTTAGCTTGAGATAGGATTGCTGGGCTTGGTCATATAATGCAAGTGAGCAACAGGCTGTGTCGCTTGTCCAGGGGAGCCTCTCAGCTTTCCAGTGGGGGCCGGGATATCCCCCGCCGGCCCAGAGGGGGGGTTTGGAGCCCCAAGCCGACCGGCTGGTCCCACTTCGAGGCTGGGGATCGGCCGTCTCCCCTACCTCGTGCGTTGCAGCAGGCATCATGTAGGTCAAGTCCTGGCGGGAGCTGTAAGCTGCAGGCTTGCCCTGCTCTGGAGGGCGGTGAGGGTGCTCCCCGGGCTGAGATGCAGGGTTTGGCTCAATTTGGAGTCTTGTATGGTCCGTTAGCAGCATTGAAAGTAGTTTCTCTTGAGAAGCTCCGGTTCTAAGCGACCATCTTGGTCGGCTGTCAGGCCCCCCCTCTTCAATATTTAATCCTTTTTGTGTTTCTTATACCCTATTATGTGTCTTAGACCCCCCTCGTGTATCTTTTTTCCTCTTTGTGTGTGTTTCACTCTCCTTGTGTGTCTCTTAGTTTCCTCCACAGCCTCTCTGTCTGCCTCTTCTCCCCAGCACATTTGTGTATCTCTTTTTTCCCTTTTCCCAGCTCCTTAATGTCTCATTCACCACTTCATCAGCCCCTTTGTGTGTCTCTGTCTCCCCCCCAAAGCCCTTTTGTATGTCTCTTCCGCAACCATTGTTGTGTGTTACTTTCTACCCCCCACAGCCCCTTTTACATGTATCTTCCCAAACCCTTTTTGGGTGTCTCTTTTTCCTCCCACGGCCCCTGTTATGTTTTTTCTCCCCACAGTCCCTTTTGTATTCCTCTTCCTTCCAGACCCATTTGTGTCTCTTACCCCCACCCCCCCACACTTTCTTTTGGATGTCTCTTCTCCCCAGCCAATTGTGTGTGTCTCTTCCCTTCCAATCCCTTTTGTATGTCTCAGATCCCACACAGTCCCTTTTGTATGCTTCTTCCTTCCAGACCCTTTTGTGTCTCCCCCCCACAATCCCTTTTCATATGTCTCTCCCGCAGTCCTTTTTGTGTGCCTCTCCCCTTCCCCAGCCTCTGCATGTGTCTCTTCCCTCCATCCCATATGTGTTTCTCTTTCCCCCAACAGCCGCTCTATGTGTCTCTTTCTCTCCTTACCCAGCCCCTTTTGTATGTCCCGCACTCCATGGTGTGCCCCACCACTTCGTTGTCTCTTCCTCTTTCCCTCCTGCTTACCTTTATTTTATAGCATGGATACGAGGTCCACAGTGGATGATCTTCTGTATTTGACATGAAGTTGTTATCTGCTCCCAGCGAGCACTTCCTGTCAGACAGGGTAGAGGATGATACAGAAAATCCTCTACCACTGTGCACTCACCTACTGTACATGAAGTGACTGTCAGGAGGGGGAGCTCTGTGGTATGCACTTGCTTCATTCTGATCACCCTTAAAATTGCACCTTCCTGGCCAGTGCACCCCAAGGCGGCCATCTGTGACTCCTTACGGTTGTGCTAGCCCTGGGTTCACCCTTATAGATTGTAAGAAATTATGACCCTCTTACAAGGATATTCTTTTAGGGAATTTGTGACAAATAAGACACAAACACAAGTGTATAATAAAATGTATTGTCAATATTGATTTAGGATACTGTTACAGATTTTAGAAGGATATACACATTACACAATATAACCAATATAGTCCAAAACCAAAAGATACATAGAAAGGGGCAATACCTAGACATTTAAATGAAGATCTGCACCTTGAGCCTTCATCTTGGGTAGTCTGGGACAATCTCTCTCAGTTCACCATGGCACCACTACTTGCTGCACTGTGCTCCCCAAAAGAGGCAAAGAGAGAATGAGAGGAGAGGAGGATTCTTGCAATCATAAACTACAAGTCCCAGAATTCCTTTTCCCTCCCAAAAGTGGTTTATCCAGACCCCTTTTTCCAGAGAGTTCCGTCTTTACACAAGTCTTTCCCTTTGATCTCTTCTCTCCAGCTACACTGTAACATTGTGTAAGATGTGACCAGTTAGGGCTGGTTTTTGGGTAGGTTGGGAGCAGGTCTGGACTTCTTTTAGAGGAAGAATAGCTTGGGAAAACACACTTCAATGGTTAAACCTAGATGTTCATTACTCTGATCTTCTGGTAACATGCATGTAAAACTGGTTGGCAGGAGAACTGTTGGAGGGATGTAAGCTGTTGTTTTAGTTGGGTGTTGTAAAATGCAACTGAAAGCTTTTATCATTATCACACTGTTATCAAATAGATGACCCCAAGTTGTGAAACCAGTCACATACACAGAATGTTTTATAC